TTCTATAATTTAAAATTTATAATTAAGAGGAAAAGTGACAAGCCACTGCCAAGATCTGACATTATTGACTGTTCTCCGAACTCCAAGAACTGTTTCTTTTTTATTGTTTTTAAAAAGGAGCGAAAAGATCAATTCTTCCCAAAGTACATGGATTTATAACCAACCTATGACAGTGCTACTTAAATAAAATATATATAATTCATGAAACAACAAGCAAGTTACATGGGAAAACAATGGGGAGAATGCAGCGTCTATGAGCTCATTAATAATTGTATTTCGTTGTTGCAGATGTTGCCTTAGAAATTACTTGAAGCTTAAAAGAAAGGTTTATTAGTTTTTGTATTTGGATTTCCTCCTCAGAGCAGTTCCTCCTCAACTACTACAGGGAATTAACTGAGCCAGAGATGCCCTCTATTTTCTTTAAAAGTTGTTGTTTTTTAAGTATTTTAACATGTTTTGGATGAGGGGTTGGTCAGTGCCTGATTCCCTGTTCTATTAATATTTCTATGAGACCTCAGCCAAGTCCCTTTACCTTTCAAGACTCATATCCTTTAGAAAAATGTATAGGTATCTTGAGAGCAAAATGTCAATGAAATAAGGTTTCAGAGAAATCCAAATCATGTGTCACAGTCTGATCTGAGAACAGACTTACTATTTGGGAGATGATTTAAACCAGTAATAAGCTACCCATCATCACAAGAGTTTGGTGTATCTTCTAATTTCTATTTCTACAACAACTCAGACATACATTTTTTTCAAAAACAAAGAAAAAAATATTCTTTAAATCTTTAAGCCATCGAAGGTTAGTGGTAGAAGTGTTAATGTCTTTTGCGTGAGTTGGTAAGCAACCACCATTTGAGTTAGATGAATGGCAGGGAATAAGAAGAAAAGGGAGAAGGTAGGTAGAAGGAGGCAGCCACCAGAGCAGATGAAGCAAGAAATTAGTTCCAGAGCACCATGATATCCTTTTCCTTTCTTCCTTGCACAGGAAGCACTTTATTAACTATATTAAGGAGAATCCTGTTTTGATGTCAAATCTGGTGTCATCCTCAAAGACAGTGAAGCATCAGTCTGCCTTCCTTGGAGTGGCAATTTTTATGTTCTTACACATAACTATAGAACCTGGTTATGCTCCCATCCTGTGGAAAGATTAGGTAAAGAAAATCTCACTGCTAATTGTCCACCTGCCTTTGTTCCCATAAACCCTTTGCTCTACCACTGTTTAGAACTCCTTGCCATTGTATTCCAGTAATTGGGTAAGGTACCTGCACCCACTAAGAAACTGAGAAGTTCCTGAGGGCAGGGAGTATGTCTTACTCATTTTTTATTTCTAGGGTCTGGCATGGTGCCTAGCACCTAGAAGTACACCATACATGTTTGTAACTAAAGAAGGTATTGTTGCTAAGTCTACAAAAGTGATTGCAAAGAACAAGGCCAGGTGTCTGGAATCGCTGCAAAGAATGGCAAACCCCTTACTGCCTCTGCTCCTCCAGTTGATGTAGGGCAGTTATTCTCTTGTGGTCCCTCAGACCAATAGCTTCAGCATCACCTTAAAAGTGCAAATCTCTGGACATACCCCAGACCTATAAAATCAGAGGCTGTGGAAAGGAAAGCCCCAGAAATCTGTATTTTAAGATTTCCAGATGACTCAGGCACAGTGACGTTTGAGAAGCAGTGCTGCAGGAGAAAGTTCAGTGGCACCTGTGTCCTTTCTCTGGTTCAGCTTAGCAACTCTATAACAAACCATGGGAAAATCCCCCAAATCCCTCAAAACTCAGTCTTTACAAGGTAAGCAAGGAAGTTGGAATGATGCCTGAGGACCCTTCTGGTTTAAAATTCTGCAAAATACCAAAGGTAGAAAGAAAGTAAATAAATGTCCCAATGACTAGATTCATTCATTCAATCAGCAAATATTTATGTACCAGGCAGTGCTCTGGGCATGGAATCAATGCATGACACAAAATTACTCCTTTTTAGTTAAAGTTGCAACATTTCAGACCACAAATTTGTACCTGTCCTCTGTCTACAACAGTCTCATACTGCATTAGTCCTGCAATGTGAAATGGAAAATGAAGAAAGTGATCCAAAGAGTTCTGACCACCCCCTCCTGCAAGGGCCTTACTTTGACTTTAATTCCTGGAAGCTTTTGTGTTCACTTAAGGGACTTCAGTACCAATGTGTTAGAAGACAAGCATGTTATAATAAATGTGATTACCTGCCAAGTTAGACTATCTCTGGGTCTATATTACTTCATGGAACAAAGTTGATTGCACTTTTAAGAAACTGAATCCCATCTAATCCTGTGTGCTCATTGATTCTCTCTCCTCAGCTATTAGTTATCACTTGTACTGCTTGAGTAAGTTCCTGTACTGACCATTCTTCTTTCCTTTTGATCTGTCTCCCTTCCTCACTGAACTCATATATTATATTCCCCATACAAACTCAGAGAACTTGGTGGTTTCCTGTAAGGTGTTTTAGACTATTTGGGATATTAAGTGAGTTTAAATATCCTTTCAAAAAGACCCTTTTATGAAAAAAACAAACAAACCAAAAAGTCACCATACTTGGACACTTTTGATTTTGACCTGTTCACATTTCACTACCTTTGAAAGGACAGGAGATGGCGCCAGAAGGCAGTGGAGCGCCTTGATTTTTGCAGGGTTTTAGCCAACCCCGAGGAAGGCAGGCAAGGGCCGGAGAGGGAGAAGTAGGAATAAAAGCAAAGGTGCCAGAGTTTGAGTATCAGCTAAAGGGGAGGTGGGGAGAGGCTTTCTCTTCTTTCTTTCTTTCCTTTTTTTTTTTTTTTTTGGAACATATAATGCTCCCCTGAACACCTATCAACCTGATGACACCAGAAATATCCATAGTGGAGCCAAAGATGAAAATAAAGGCAAGCCTCTAGAGGACTTAGCTTTGTCTCTCTCTCTCTCTCTCCTAGAAACCAGGGCCTTTGTTCTTTTGAGAAACACGAGGGTCGAGAGGAGCTGTGCAGTCGGAAGTGGGAAAGTGCTGAGTTAGGGCTAAGACATCTTTGTGAAACAATGTTCAATTGTGTATACAAGAGTCCCATAGCCCACCAGAGGTGAAACACTTCCCAAAAGGAATCACACACAAAACATTTTAAATTACCATTTTAAAAATTAGAAAGTTCACAGACAACCAGGAGGTGGCGCCTGGCAAGATACACCACCTGCCGGGAGAGGGTGACTCGCAGCCCCAGGCTCTCTCCGGGACTCGGAGGTCATTCTCTTCATGCTCTTTCTTTTCTTTTCTTTTCTTTCTCTTTCTTTCTTTCTTTCCTTCTTCCTTCCTTCCTTCCTTCCTTCCTTCCTTCCTTCCTTCCTTCCTTCCTTCCTTCCTTCTTTCCTTCCTTCCTTCCCTCTCTCTCTTTCTTTTTTTGTATCATACACAAGATGTCTCTGCTTGCTTTCTTTTCTTTTCTTTATTTCTTCTCTGTTTTTTTCTCCCTGTTCCTCTGATAACTATCCCCATTCAAGGAAGTCTAATTTACTCTTTACTATTTATTTTTCTTAGATGGAATGGGTGGAGACTTTGGGGGAACATCAAAACAAAACTTTCCTCTAAGGGCCCTGGTCTGTGTGGCTCAGTTGGTTGGAGTGTCGTTCAGTAAATTGAAAGGTCACGGGTTCCATTCCTGGTCAGGGCACATGCCTAGGTTGCAGTTCTGTCTCTGGTAGGGGTTGTACCAGAGGCAACCAATCGATGTTTCTCTCTTCCCTCCCTTCCCATCTCTCTAAAGTCAATAGTCATGTCCTTGGGTGAGGTTTAAAACAAAACAAGAAACTTGCCAGTAAGGGAAAAATTCAGAGGGTGATGAAAATTAAAAAGGAAATGATATCTGCAAAGTGGCTTGGCTTCACAGATCAATCACAGGAAGGCATGGCGGGCTCCTGACTCTGCAGGCGTCCATAATCCTGCACATGCATTATTCTGTTCATTTGGCTGTTATCCCTCTCCCATATTTAGCTTCTGCTCTCTTTGTTTTGGCTATTTATTGCTATTTAGCAGGAGCAAGGAGGGCAGAGGGAGCTCAAATGGGGAGCATCCTCCTTGCTGGTGACTGGTTAGAATAGGGAGGAGAAAGGTTTCGATGTCTGGTTTGAAATTGTCTGTGAGTTTCACATTCCCTAACGAGGGATTTAGGATGTACATTCCGATCGGGATTTCGAGTCCCGTGGGGTAGCAAGCAGCAGTCCACATTCCTGACACAGCCCAGCTCGCCCAGCTCCCTGGTGGCAGGTTTCTTAGTCCCACATGTCCTGCTCAGCCCTTTGTTGGGCAGAAGGGAAGACCCCAGGCCCCTCTTCCAATTGGATCACATGGTCAGTCTCCCCCCCCCACCCCCGCCCCGTCCCCCGTCCCGCCCTCCGCCGTCTTTCTCTGGAGCCCGCCTTTTTTTTTTTTTTTTTTTTGGATGATGGTAGTGATTGTTTCTAAGGTTTCCCCATCTCTCCTCCTGCCCTGGCCTCCCTGCCAGGGGTTAGTGTCCTTTTCAGTGACAAAAGCCGCCCTAGATCTGGACTCCCTGGGGAGGGAGGTGGCTGGGTCTGGCAGTTGGAGCCGCTGTCTCTCCATGGTGCTGCTGCAGCCCCTCCCCCGCTGGACACACAAATGGTCTTTATACAACAAACAAAACCATCCCCCCACCAAGGCCACACAGGCACGTGGACCAGGCCTCACCGTGGGAAGGGGGTGGTGACAGGCGCTCTGACAAGTTCTCTTCGCCTTGCCTCTCCTTTATTTTCCACAACCCAGGTTTTAGTCCTTGACTTCCTACCCTGACTCTCCCAACTCCTCATTCCCTGACTCCGAACTCTGGACTCTTCCTATTCCACAGCAGCTCAAATTCTGCAGGAGATTGGGAACAGGTCCTCCCACCACCTGCCCCAAACCACCTGGAGAGTTGTTCCTCAGAAAAGCCAGCGAGGGAATGAGAACCCAGTGTCCCTCTGAGCAGGCTGGATTGGACCCCAAAGCCCTCCTTCCCTGCCCCTCCCGCTCCAGGGGACACCCGTCTGAACAGTGTCTGTGTGAAAGGCAGAGGAAGGAAGAGCTCACCCCAGCTGGGCTCCTGAGCCAGGGCCAGGGCTCCTGTGAAGCCCGCTGCGTGCTGGGGCTCTGAGCGGGGCCATCCTGCATACCTAATTGGCTATTTAAGGAGCTGTTGGCCTGCAACCCAGGCAGCCCCCCCGCCCCACGTACACCCGTCCAGAGCCACCTTAAAAGCAGGAGTCAATTGTGAAGTCCTTGGCCAGCAAGTAGAGTGAAGACTGCAGAGGGAGATAAAAGAGAAAGCAGCAAGATTTGTCCTGGAGACCCCAAAACCCACAATACCCTACTGAAAACCAGCTACCCTAGAAGCGCACAGAGACACGAAGACAGCAAGAGAAAAAGAGATAAATACATTCAACTTCAGGATTCTCCTTCCCTCCCTCTCTTTCTCTGCCCCAGTCCTCTAGTCTCCAAAACCCCAGTACCTTGTTCTCCTTCTGAGGATACCATGATGTTCCTCACGCTCCTGCTGGAGGTGATTTGGATCATGGCTGCATTCGGGGGTAGGTGTATCTGAATGTCTGTGTTTCTGTGCTGATTATCCACATGTCGTTATGCAAGCTTAAGGTGGTGGGGGGCGGAGTGTAAAAGGAAGCCTACAGGACAGAAGAGCAGAGGGGTGCGGAGGAGACCACTTTCCTTCTCTTCGCTTTGCCTTTCCAGCCTTACTGTTAGTGAGGATGGGGCAAAGCTGGGGCGGGTGAGGGTGGGGTGGTGCGCCAGGACGCAAGCACACGCTCCAGAATCTCTGTGCAAGCTCCAGATTCTCTCCAGAGCTCTTTCCCCCACTGCCCTCGTCCCAGGCAGCCCTGCTGGCCCTCTTTATTTACTAACTCCTCCAGTCAGGAAGCCAAAGAGCCCTGGAGGGAGACAATAAAGGACTGATGGCATGGAGATGCATACCCTCTGCCGCTGTTCTAACTATGACCATGGCCAAGTTTCCCTTTGAGTCTATGGAATGACTAATTTCCCAGTTTTTCCCTGAAAACAATAGCAATAACAGTCAATGCTGTCAGACCCCTTATAATTTACAAGGGACTTTCAGGAGGTCCCAGGAGATGAGGAGGGACTCTTGGGAGAACAGGCTGAGGTGCTTCCGGAGCATTCCCAGGGCCGCATCCCTCATTTTTATGTTCCCTGTGCCTTGTGCGGTATCCAGCACACAGTAGGTATCTAATTAAGATTTGTTGGAAGAACAGGGTGAGAGGGGTTGTCTGGAGAGCAGAAGTGGGACACAGAGAGGATGACAGGGGAGCCACATGGAGGGCTGCAACTTGCCTCTGAGGAAAAAGAAAAAAGGAGGGAAAGAGTCCCCAGGAAGAGACGCAGAATTAGTGTGTTGAGGATTTGGTTAGGGGAAGGGCACGGCTGTCCCTCCACAGAACCAGGGATTCAAGTTGTTGGGCTGCCCCACTGCCCTGCTGAACGAGAGGCTGCCTCCAGCCCCGCCTTGGGCTGCTTTTCACCGTTGTCTGAACCAAGGGATGGGCTAGTGCAGTGGTTTTCAACTGGCGAGCTGCAAAAAAATTTTAAAACATGCAATACCTGACTATTTAGTCAGGGGCACTGACCTCTTTTCCCTTAGATTATCAAATAAGAAAAAAATAACAATAGCCAACATTACAATGGTGTCGGTGTGAATGAATCAAATTATACCTATTTTTTTGGTCACATCGGCAAAAAATGTAATTTTGGGGGGTGCCGCAGAATTTCAGTCATTAGTTTATGTGTGCCATGAGACGAAAACGTTTGAAAATCACTGGACTAGTGCAAGAGCCCAAGATTGAGATCAACGATATCTTGGAAGTCTAAGAAATTTAAGAGAATGAGAGAGAGAGAGAGAGGAAGGAATTTAGGATGTTTCTCCAAACTTTCCAGTGATTTGAGTAAACTTTGAAGTAGTTTGGTCCTGGGTGAGGGCTGGGCTAGCAGACCCCTGCCCTTCAGCCCCAGGCCGGGCTGCACGAGAGTCCGGCATGTGACCCAGCTGGCAGCTCTCTTTTCCACACACAATGCTTCACTTTCATCCTGCCCTTGCCAGCCGGGCTGCTTGTGCCCACCCACCACCCGCAACGTAGAGTGGCCCCTGGCCTGACTCCCACCTTTCCTAGCCATCTGGGAATCTAGGGAGCAGAGGCTCTGGTGATGGGGAACTCTTCCCTTAAAATTACTGGGACCACAGGGAGGAACCAAGGGAGGAAGTTAAGTGATCATTTCCAGCTCAGTGCCCTGATTCCTGCAGTGCTTCAAAGCAAAGGCATAATCGCCCTTCATCCCTCATCAGCACTGCCCCCAACTCTGAACTTCTTTCCCCTCCCTTGTTCATTCCTTTCCTCCAAACCCTCTGCCCACACCCTCACCTCACCCCCAACCTTCTAAGAGTTAGGTGGCTTTGGCACAGGCTGGAGAAAAGTGAGGGCTGGGCAGACTGCACATTTGGATTCAGGTTAATTTTAGTCTCCAGGCTTTATCTCTTTTCATATCTCCTCCCCCTTTACCCAGCAATCACAAGCACAGTCAGGCTGGTGATTTTAAATAGACCCCCGACCTTTCCACCGAGGTGTCCAGTTTCAAGGCTTCCTTTGGGAAGTGCTGGAGCACAGGGAGGGGAAAGCAGAAGTGGGAGGTGGGGCGGCGCACAGTGCCCAAAGGAGGGCCCTGCCCCAGGCTGCACTGGCTGTAACTCAGATTACTCTGCTTTGCAGGTCACCACTGGACATATGAGGGTGAGAGCTGAACCCAAGGCCTATCTACACCCCTTTCACACTGGGACCTCCTCACCTGGCAGGAAGATTTATGTTGTATGGTTTCCTTTAGCTTCTTGCCCTAGCTCCTTCCCTTCTCCACCTTCCCATGCCCTAGACTTTGTGTGTGTGACTCCCAGACCATCAAATCCCACACCTCCTGACTCAGCAGAAAAGCCAGTTACGTCCTCAGTTTGTGGGATGAGGGAGTTGGAGTGGAAAGGAAATTGGGTGGGGAAAATGACCCAGGAGCTTAACTACCAGTTCACCTCCTCTCTCTCTTTCTATTCTAATCAATTCTGCCCCCAACCTGCATCTGGAATTGGGACAGAATTTAAGATCAACGGTGAAGAAGAAGCTGGCAGGATAGTTTGTGATCCTGGTGGAGGTGGAACTCAATTCCTTTGAACTTCTGACTAATAACTTAACTGAATTCCAGAGTCAATACAAGGTCCAGGGTGAAGGTGAAAAGCAAGAGAGAGAAAGTCAGCAGATCTGAATACCACTTAGCAGGGGGCCCCTCTGTGACCCTACCTCTCTAGGATCATTGTATTTCCCCAGTTTTATGGCTCCTGTTCTAGTCCCCCCTTGCTGGGTATGCAGGCATTCTTTCTAGCCCCTCTTCTTCTCATTCAGCTTTCTTGTCCTCAAACTACAGGTAAGTAAATGCCACTGTCCCCCATGTATCAGGAAAGCTGGGGAATCATCACTGCCTCGGGGTAGCTGGAGGGAACAGAAGCGTCAGGTCTGGCAGGGACTCCTACCTCACCCAGCCACACACAGCTGGGGTCTCACATGGGACAGAAGGAAAAGTCACTTCTCCTCTTCCACCCAGATGTATAGCTTGGTGGGGGATTGCTGAAGGGTGGCTGGGGCTAGAGGGCAGGACAAATGTCTGTGGTAACCCCCACCAGGCCCACATGGTCAACACCATTGGCCAGACTCTTACCCTGAGTGTGGAAGCAATGCCCAGTCCCCCATCAATATCCAGACAGACAGTGTGACTTTTGACCCGGAGTTGCTCCCTCTGCAGCCCCACGGATATGACCAGCCTGGCACCGAGCCCTTGGAGCTGCGCAATAATGGCCACACAGGTAAAATGCCCAGGCTCTAAGGAGGTGAAAACTTCCGTTGCAGCCTTACAGGTTGGGGGAAGAAAGGTTCTAACTTCTGAATTCTGACAAGGCTCCCTCTATAAATCTGGAGATGTGAGATGGGGATGAGCCTTCTGTAGCCAAGAGCGGGAGCTCAATGTCTATAACCAAGCTCTACGGGTAGATTAGTATAATAGCAGTGACTTGATCTTCACTGAGAAAAATGTGCTAGAAAAGCAGTGGCCTGCAGGAAGAACTGGATGCTATCGGTGGAGGGAGACTGAAAATGCTGGCCAAGTCTCCCAAGAATTGGTGGCAACCCAGGGGTGGGGATGTGTCCACAGCCCTCCACCAACCTTAGCTGGCTCCCTTTTCCTCACAGTGCAACTCTCTCTGCCCCCTACCCTGCATCTGGAGGGACTTCCCCGGAAATACGTAGCTGCCCAGCTCCACCTGCACTGGGGGCAGAAAGGATCCCCGAAGGGGTCAGAGCACCAGATCAACAGTGAAGCCACCGCTGCAGAGGTACCAGGGAGCAAGGCTTAGTCTACGACACTGACAGGCATGGTTGGTGCTAGGGAAAAGGAGGATCTGGAAACTGGGAAAAATTGTATTTGGAGGATAATGCCAATCCTGTGGGACAGATTTAGGGCATGCTGACGGTGGTGGTGGTGGTGGTGGTGGTGGTGGTGGCGGCAGCGGCGGCGGCTAGGGTCAAAGCCTGTGGGAGAGGACGGAGAAACGCTGAATGATTCAGTGCCCTCTCCCCTCAGCTCCACATTGTACACTACGATTCTGATACCTATAACAGCTTGAGTGATGCTGCTCAGATGCCTCAGGGCTTGGCCGTCTTGGGCATCCTCATTGAGGTTAGTGCCCCCACTTCCTGCTAGGCCTCTCTTCACTCCCTCTGCTTCCCTCATGCCCATGTCTGTTGTTGGTCTCCCTCCCAAGGCGAGTCAGCAACCACTGACCACTTATTCTTCACATAAATGTCTAACTCCAAACATGGACTCACACCAGACTTTTGCTTTCCTTCCCTTCCAGGTGGGTGAGACTAAGAACCCGGCTTATGAACACATTCTGAGTCACTTGCACGAAATCAGATATAAAGGTGAGCCCTAAAAATCTATCTTGGAACGAAGTCAGGTCAGACTTCAGGGAAACATCCAAAAAAAAAAAAAAAAAAAAGACTAAGAGGCCTGGGATGAGGGAGTAAGTTAGGGGTAGGAGTATCGCTTCTGGGAACCCCGTCTAGGTGAGCCAGGGCACAACGAGGAAGGTGACCCTGGTCTGTCCTCCCCTAGATCAGAATACCTTAGTGCCTCCCTTCAACGTGAGAGAGCTGCTGCCCACCATGCTGGCGCACTTCTTCCGCTACAATGGCTCGCTCACCACGCCCCCGTGCTACCAGAGTGTGCTCTGGACAGTCTTCAGGAGAAGGGCACAGATTTCAATGGAACAGGTGAGTGGTGGACAGGTGAGGCAGCAGAGATGTAGTTGTAACCCAGACCCTTTCCCACTCCTAAGTGACACTTCTCTAATCCCACTCTCCTAGCTGGAAAAGCTTCAGGAGACATTGTTCTCTGCAGAGGAGACCTCTCAGCTCCTGGTACAGAACTACCGAGCCCCACAGCCTCTCAATCAGCGGACAGTCTTTGCTTCTTTCATCCAAGGTAACTATACAAGGCTCGAGAAAAGGGGATGGGAAACTGGGGGCCTCAACAGCAGGAACCAGGAAGCTCCTCGGAAGGAAAAGAAGGCTGAGGGTAAGGGTTTCTGGAACTCGCTTGGACTGGGAACCAGCCCCCAGCCCTGAGTAGCCAAGTGACTTCCCCAGGTAAAGAGGCAGTGTACTGCTCCCAACTAGGGTGGGGGTCTGAAGTGCCACTGACCCACCTTTTCTTCCCTTACAGCGGAATCCTCGTATACCACAGGTGAGACAGCCCTACCCAAGTTTGCAGGGGAGGCAGGGGGGCGGTGGCTCCTCGGTGAGCAAGGGGAGGGTTCAATGGCCACATTAGTCCTAGGCTGACACCGTCCCTCTCTCCCGCCCCCAGGTGAAATGCTCAGCCTGGGAGTGGGAATCTTGGTTGGCTGTCTCTGCCTTCTGCTAGCTGTTTATCTCATCGCTAGGAAGATTCGGTGAGGTCCCACTTCCCATTCCTCTAGTCCCTTCTACTGAAAAGCATTCTCCTATTCCACTTCTCAGATACCACCACCAGTAATGTCCATGAACGATTCCCCCTTCCAGGAAGAAGGTACTGGGAAACCAAAAGAGTGTGGCCTTCACCTCAGCAAGAGTCACTGAGGCATAGACTCTGTCTCAGACATCATGGATGCCTTCCCATCACACCTGTCAGGGAGCTTCCAGAACTGCGTGCAGAGACTGGCCGCAAACCCGGTAGATGTAGCAGGCAGACACCTCTCCTTCCTCTGGTCATGGACAGGTTCTCATTCAACGAAGAACAGCCAAGCCTTCGGTCTCTCAAAACACGTAGGAGATCAGGAGACTCCTCTCCATTGATAATACAGACTGTGCTTAATTGTATGTGCCTCAAAGTCCCCCACCCCCTCTCCTTTATGTCGCTTTGCCTAGATGTGGGCAAGATATTCCCTTAGGAAACAGGGTTGCTTTGTGGGGGGGTTGTATTTTTGCCCAATATATTTGGAAATTAAAGTTTCTGACCCACATCTGGCTTTGCCTTTGGGGCTTTTGAGAGTGGGAGAGTTCCTTAATCCCGCGGGTGGCAGAGGTGGGCAAAGGACAGGGAAAGAGAATGGATGAGTAACTTCTTTTACTCCAGTCCTGGAAGAGGAAACCCTGGAAAATGCTTAGCCCAAAGTTTCTCACATGGTACACCACCAGTCCAGATTTCTGCCCTTGCACCAAACCTCAGCTAGGGAGGGATCAGAGGTGCCAAATTAGGAAGAAGGTTGGAAAAGAGACGCAAGGACAGAAATCTCAACTAACATGTAATCCCCTTCCTTAAAAGGCACATTCCCCTACAATTATAAAGTCCTTTTTATTAGTCAAAATCACAATCACCTTGAATAAAAGGATGGGACATGCCATCCTCAGCAGAAAATGATACAGTTTATAGAAAACTTCCCCACCTCACCCCCCCACACACACACAATTAAAAACTAGAAAAAAAAATCTGCCCTCTTTCCCTGCGATGTCATGGTAGGCGGACTCCTCCAGTGGCACTGCAGCGCTAGAGTGGCCAGCTCACCACAGCACCCTCCACTTCGCCTTGGGGAGAGGAGGGATGCTGGTGGTCAGGGAGCTTAAAACATCAGTTCCAGTTATACCAGTTCCCAAACATGCACTTCCTTTCTCTCAAGGCCTAGGACAGTGGGGAAGGGGGACAGATAGGAGCTCAAGCATAAGGAGCAATGTCAGGAGGGGAAAATATAGTCCAAGGAGGTTAGAAGTCCAACACATCTCCTCCCTCCTCTTCTTAGAAAGAAAGAAAGAAAAAGAAAGAAACAAAGAAAAGAAAAAGGCAGTTTTGGGTCTTTAACACACCAAAAATGGTTCCCCTCGGACCTGAGAAAAAGACCAAATAAAAAGACCAAGATGTCCAGTCTGGGGAGGGAATATTGGGAAACTCAGAGCTCATCTACCCTTGAATCTCCATTAATTTCATCTTCATGGCAATGGCTAAGCTAGGCCCCTTTTCTTGGCAACCTGCACTGTCCAGAACTGGAGATGGAGAAATACAGAGCGAGGAGATCAGGGAGCACCCCAGGCACAGGGGTCCCCCCCCAGGTTCCCTCAATCCTCGGGTGGGATGCGCAGGGCAGAATACACCATCACCTGACTGTCCTCCTGCCGTCGGCCTGCAGAGGGGAAGGGAGGTGAGTCTTGGGCAGGGTGAAAGCAGAGCACTGACACATGGAAAGTCCTGGGGAGCAAGGGGGTCCCCAGATGGTGGGGATAAGTGCAGATTCAAACCCACCAGTCACTGACTGGCTGAACCCAGGCTGCTCCTGGTAAAGCCTAAAGGTCACCGGTGGACAAAACAAAACCCTGAAGGTGGTGGGACAGACCGACGAGGAGACAGAATGGTGAGCAATGGACCCTGGCTGGGGCTGGGCTCAGTCATGGGCAGTGGGCAGACACGTGGGGTCTGTCAGGTGATCAGTCCAAGTAGTCAGTCCTTACACGAGAGGCTGCGCTGGATACTTCGGAGGGAGCCTCCAGCTGTAATGAAGGCCCAGAGCCCCATGGAAACAGTGACTGCATAGATGGGCAGCAGGCTGGCCTCGTACCATGGGTTCAGGAATGTCTGGAGATAGGAGTACAGTAAAAAAGAGGTTAGATTCTCCCTCTGCCTAATCCCCATGTGCTCTGGGCCTTTGACCCAAACCTCCCCCAGCTTTCTCACTCGAATCCCCAAGTCTTTTCCTTCAGAGCACCAATATCTTGAGGTTAAAGGGATCTCTGATTTTCAACTTCCTCAGAGGTGTCTGCCACGCGTGCTCACCTCAGGCCACCTGCATTGCAGTTTGACCAATCCATTCCGGCTCCTTCCCAGACCATCCCCACAGAAGGTTACACAATTGATGCTGAAGTGAGAGACCTCTAAAGACTCACCTTTCTGCCTTCTCCCACAGTAAGTCTTAAAATGTTAAGAAGTGAAGATCTATTTCCCCTCCATCAAATTCACCATTAAACTCTTTTCTGACTCAGGCCCCTGTCCCCTACTCACCAGTCCTGATGTCAGTAGGTGACTCCCAACCACCAGGCCCAAAGTCCAGTACCGTCTCCTCTCACAGGCATCGAAGAACACAACTCCCCAAAAGGTATGGAGCAGGATGATGGCTGCTGTCAGAAAAGCTGCAGGGAGGACAATGGGGAAGAAATAAATCCCTCACCTTCTCCCAGCCTCCTAAGATGTCCAGCCACAGAAGTCTCCCAGGGCAGGCCAATAAATAAGATCAGGGCCAGGGAGCAGTAGGGCACAAAGGCAAGATAGAAAGTGGATCTTACCTGAGGTCAGGAAGTAATAGGGTGAATCTCCATGGATCCCAACCACACCTGGCCCAAGTGCATCAGCCAAAATATTGATAACAGAGAAGACACCACTGATGATACCGAAGGAAAGACCAGAAACTGGAGGGAGGGAGGGTCTGATCAATGTCAGAGATCACGATAACCTGATTACCAATGATTCCTCCCCATTCCCAGTAACAATTCCCCCACACCTACTCTCCCTCCAGACCACCTCTCCTTGGAAGTCAGATATGAAGGAAACAAGCAGCTGTTAGAATATGCAGATGTTTACAGACTTCCCTGGGAGAGGCGGGTGTCCAGCACCCTCCTCCAGTCCCTCTCCCTCGGCTCACCATAGGCCATCTGGCGGATGGAGATGGGTGATCTTCCGTCCTCACTCAGCGATGCTAACCCCTCATCTGCCTTCCTGGGGTGAGGTGGGGTGAGGTAGGGTAGGGGAAACATGAGGGAAAGCAGAAATACTCCTTTCCCTCCTATATCCTCCCTTAGTGCCTCCTTTTCCAAACCACCACCCAGGGGCTGCCCCACTTTTCATAGCGCATTTTCTCCCCTCCAGAACATCCATCTTCTTACTTAAGCAGCTTGTAGTAGGCAAAGCGGAACACCTCCTGTAGAAGGACGGAGACCGCAGCACCAAAAATCAAGAGGCCATACTGGAGCCGGGCATCTGATGGGTCGGTTACATGGACCAAGATGAACCAGACCACAGAGGCCAGGAGCAGAGACACCAGCCAGAAAAATGCCCTGAGGAAAAACAGGGGCGATTAGACAGGCAAGGGTAGGGGAAGCCGCACAAATCAAGGAAAGGAATCAACCAAGGCTGCAGCATAAAAAGTGGAAGTTAAACTTCCGGATGGTCAGGGAGACAAGGAGTAGATTAGGTAGGTGTTTCCACCAAGGGAATCTATAGGGTTCCGAACGCAGGGGATATCGTAGAAATTGATTGAAGAGTCTGCAGAGCAATGACAGTCAAGTGTACGAGCACAGTAGGACGAGGTATCCATTCCTGGATCCTCCCTTAAGGCCGCCCGAAGTCACCAGAGCCCCCTCCCGAGTCTTGGCCTTGGGCCCTCCTCTGACGTCGCCGGAAGAAGTATAGAAGGAATCTGTGCGATCCCTGGAAGGCGGAAACCAACCTCGGAAAATGGGAAATCACCTAAACCCCCGACTGACTCAACCCTTTCCAGTCTTCACATCCGACTTTTCTCCTCCAACTCAGACTCCCAGAATCGCCCCAGTTCCTCCACTCCCTTCCGGATTTCTCTCTTCGGCGCCCTCTTAAGTCTTCCCGACCCCTACTCACCCTGCGACCAGGATGATGACACGAAGCGGGTCCCCGGCCACAGTGATCAAGAAAAGCGCAAAGGCCGGGCCGAAAGCGACAAAAGTGCATCCGAAAAACACTGCGGCCCCCATTGCTTGGCAGCTTGGGCAGGCGGGCGGGGGGAGAGGCCTGGCCAAGGGAGGCGGATGGGAAGAGCGCCCCAGCTAGAGAGTCGTTGTGGGGGGGCGACGCGACCCCGTAAGGGGCGCGGTGCACTGTCACCCCCGGACCCCGGGGAAGGGGAAGGGGGGAGCACCCAAACCCCAAGTACAAGTCCGCGCGACTTCCTCTACGGAAGCCGAGGAGGGCAAAACCCCTGCCGCAGCCCTGTGGCCACCTCCCACCTAATTCCCCACCCCCACTCCCATGGCCAATGGGAAATAGGAGGGGCGGGGCTGCGGAGACGTGGGGGGCGGGGAGGCACGGCTGCCTGGGAGTTGTAGTCCTCCTGCCTCAACCTCGGTGCTCGGAGTGGGTCAGGCACGCTCAAGGGAATTGGCCTGGAGTGTTCCTGGAATGGGCCTGGGGTGAGCCTGTGCTGGGCACGGGTTTCTGAGTTCCGTTGGTCCTTAGCGGTGATTTCCTTTCCTTATTTTGTGGAGAAATGTGGAGAGCAGGACCAATAAAATGGCATAGGTCCAATTAAGATATCATAAAGCACATAAAACAAAGTGGAGTCACTTTTGTCAACTAAAACGGCTGTCAGCCATGACACTTTGTTTCAAGAGGAAAATTACCTAAGTCAGAGTAAACACATCTGGCAAGGAGACATAACTGTCCACGTGGTCAGCGCAGACACCTCTGGCAAGGAGACACACTTAAGATACCTGCACATGTGGTCAGAGTAGCCCTGTCTGCAGAGCAAGACCAACTGTAGATAGGCTCCTGGGCAAATTCCCAACTTGGCATCGAGGATGCCCCGATATTTATCAAAAAGTCCCAGAAGGGTGGAGTACACACCACTTTCAACATATAACGGAGGCAAGTTCCAGACTGCTGCTGAGACAGCAAGCTCCACACACCAGAGTGCGGCTCCACGCCACGCTGATCTCTTCTGGCATTGGCCACCAGAGGCTGTGCCCTCCTGGACTGAGGACTTCACCTGCCCTGCTGCCCACCTGACTCCAGAGATTCTTCCTTACAAGACGCTGACAACTCCCTTGCCCACCGTGCTCTCTCCTGGACCTGCAGATGGAGACTCTGGGATTCAGGTTTGTTAACCCCTATTGATTGCTGTGTGTGTATGTTATATTTCTCTTAGATTGTTAGAGTGTGAGAAGGATATTAATGTGTGTTGATGTTCTACTTTGAGTGAACCTACATTCAATAAAAGCTGTGTGATTAGCATAGTTATCGTGTGTGAGACTCTTGCCTATTCCTTGGCGTGGGGCTGCTCAGCAGGCAGTTAGCCAAGCAGTTGCCTGGCTGACTTATAGAAAAGACTACGTCACGAGAATACGCTTGTGACAAAGTGGTAGCAATCCTATCTCAACTTGAATTGCTGCAGAGGGGGGAAGATCCTGTTGGAACCTAAAAGACAAATACAAAGAAAGAACAGGATAGACGTTGCAGAGAGACAGGCATGGGTATTGTTCTTATTTGAATGAGAGGAAATGGGCTAGAGCTACTGCCTAAGAGATGAAGGTTAAACTTAAAAGTAGGAACTCTTTGAACAGGCTAGTATAAGAAACATGCAATACAGTGTAGTATATCATTTATGAAGCCTTCGTCTGTAATGACGAGAGTCAGAGAGAAGAAAGAGGAGCTTGGAGAGCAACATTAGGAAGGAGATTATAGGGGATTCAGAGTTAAAGCTGTAAAAAGCAATTAGAATGGTGAGATTGAAGGAAAATGACGCGCCCCCCCCCCCAACAAAGTCACTCAGTTCCTTTCATGTCCTACTTCCTCTCTTTCCTGAAATGAACCTCAGTCCTGTCTTTATCTCAGGCTGGGGGGAAATGCAGGGGTTGTATATTAGAGTGTTAAGAAAGACTAGGAGAGGAGATATTGTACCTTCCTTTGGATGGGTGTGGGGTTAGTCCTTAGGGAGGATATTTAGGCAAAAGTACCAGGATGAGAAAGTGAGGAAATCTGGAATACTGTTTTTAAGACAGTAATCAAAGTACCGAAAAACTATAGACGTTGTTCAAAGAGAACCAGGCTTCCTTTCCTTCCTGGAAGTGATTTATGTTTTAATGCATACATAGCCGCATAAGTATTTTACTTTTTTTTTCTTCAGGAAATTCTGTAAAGGAACTGAAAGAATAGATTGTTTATATTTACATGGAAAGTCACCAAGCAAGTCCTCTCCCAATATGGTTGAGAGGGTGGGAGCATCCTGGCCAGTGCTCAGGACTCTAGTGTGTCTTGCTTCTGAGCCAAATCAGGAAAGATGGATATAAGACAACTCTTCCTGCCTCCTTTGAGCTGTTACCACAGTATCTCCTGATGGCACCAAACCTATCTGGTTCCTGGGTGGTTCCACAGACTTGCATAGTGCCTGGCTCACAGTAGATGTTGAAAGATACTTATTACCTCCCTTAAATAAAACACAACACTGTATTCTCTTCTTATTCTTGTGCCTGTAAATCCTGAACTGCCTATCAGACTTGGCCTAGCACTTTGTGCCTAGCATGTATGTCACTAAATGTTTCTGAATCTAATTCAATGAAAATGGGAAATACAAAAGTAGAGAGAAGAATAAGATGACTCTACCTTTGTAGGCTGGAATGAAGGGAATACTCCAAGTAACTGAAAGGGGAAGAGATGTGGCACCTACCGCAGGGAAAGAGACTATCTGCTTTCTTCCTTCTTCTATCCTGTATCCAGGAAGTTGAGAAAGAGGTGAGGTGAGGTCAGTACTTACCAGAGAGGAAATAACTGACTTTGTCTAAGAGATTTTTTTTTTATCAAAAACAATGTAGCAGGTGCTTTTAGAATCAGACAATGACGTTGACATTGCTCCCATACTTCACAGTCCCAGACAGGCAGAAAAGAGGGATGATTTTCAGTCCAGAAAATGCTCATTCCTTCCTCAGAACATATCAACTATGAAGAAAGAGATTGGGCCCTGACTGGTGTGGCTCAGTTGATTGGGCATCATCCCACAGAGCCAAAGGTCACCAGTTCTGTTCTGGGTCAGGGCACATGCTTGAGTTGCAGATTCAGTCCCAGGTTGAAGCAATCCATGTTTCTCTCCCTCTTCCCCCCTCCCTGTCTCTGTAAAAATAAATAAATAAAATCAGAAAGGAGGAAAGAAGGGAGAGAGGGAAAGGAAGGAAGGAAAGAAAAGGAAAGGAAAGGAAAGGAAAGGAAAGGAAAGGAAAGGAAAGGAAAGGAAAGGAAAAGAAAAGAAAAAAGAAAAGGACTGATTTTGATTAAGCCTGAGAGAGGGGCAACTGTGGATGGTGATGGTAAGTTAGGGACAGTGAGAGGGAAGGTGAGCATTTTGTGAGGACTGAGAGAGAGGGAAGGAGAATGAGGGGAGAGGGCTTACTAAGAGAAGCTTCTTAGTAGTGAGGGTGGGGGTTGTTTTGTTGTTGTTTTCTTCAGTGGCAGCAGGAATCCCGAATGGATCTAATCTAGGCTGGGGGAGCTCAATGAACATGTTCCCATCGAAACCCACTTTGCTTCTCTTAATATGCGCAGCTCTCAATGAGGATAACACCGTAATAACTGATGCTCTGAAGAGTTAGTTAGCAAGTAGGAATTCCAACCTCTGAGAGAAAAGTTGCTGCAATTTCTTCCCTGCTTTGGAGGAGGGCCAGAGGTGGACCGGAGGCAGGCCAGAGGCGGGGTAAATTATGTGGGAAACGCTGTAATTTCCTTTTTTTACTTTCACAGTAATAGTGCAGTATTCAGAATGGATGTCCTCTTTGTAGCCATCCTTGCGGTGCCACTTATCCTGGGTAAGTTCACTTCACTCCAAGTTTTAATGCCAGGTTTTCTATCATAAATAGAGCGGGAGAAAAAATGAGGAGAGGGGGAGAGATGCAATTCGATGGGGAGTGATAACGGTCTCTCATCTGTGCTACAGCCCAGTGTTGGGGTTGGGGGGAATCTAGGAAATAGAGCTGGGAGAGGGGGAGGAAAGCAGAGTCCTGTCAAAGAAGAGATAGCTGATGGGGATGGAGCCCCAGAACTGGGGAGGTCCTAACAAGAGGGAACTCAGCTCTCCATCACCAGAGTCGAACCAGAGGAGAGGAACTAATGTGAAAGCGAAGGAGAGACGGGGACTCTGAAAGTGAAGCAGTCTGAAACTAGTGAGGGAAGCCAGCATATCTTCTTTCTGAGAATGTTGGAGGAAAAAAATCTTGTATTAGTAAAGAGATACAAGTTAGGGTGACTTTTAGGGTAGTGAAGAACTGGGTGCCTACAGGGACAGAATCTGAAAAGTAGCTTGGCCCTTTCCCTTTTTTGTTGCCAGTCTGCTAGGTGCTTTTTTTGTTTTTAAGTATATTATATTGACTATGCTATTACAGCTGTCCCATTTTTTTCCTCCCCTTTCCCCCCTCCCCCCTGCATCCTCCCTCCTACCAGCATTCCCTCCACCCTTAGTTCATCTCCATGGGTCGTACATGTAAGTTCTTTGGCTTCTCCATTTCCTATACTATTCTTAACCTCCCCCTGTCTATTTCGTACCTACCAATTATGCTTCTCATTCCCTGTACCTTTTCCCCCATTCTCCCCCATCTCTCTCCCTGCTAATAACCCTCCATGTGATCTCCATCTCCGTGATTCTGTCCCTGTTCTAGTTGTTTGCTCAGTTTGTTTGGTTTTGTTTGTTTGTTTGTTTGTTTGTTTCTAAGGTTCAGTTGTTGATAGTTAGGAGTTTTTTGTCATTTTACTGTACATAGTTTTGATCATCTTCTTTTTCTTAGATAAGTTCCTTTAACATTTCATATAATAAGGGCTTGGTGATGATGAACTCCTTTAACTTGACCTTATCTGGGAAGCACTTTATCTGCCCTTCCACTCTGAATGGTAGCTTTGCTAGATAGAGTAATTTTGGCTGTAGCTCCTTGCCTTTTGTGACTTTGAATACTTCTTGCCAGCCTCTTCTTGCCTGCAACGTTTCTTTTGAGAACTCAGCTGATAGTCTTACAGGAATGCCTTTGTAGGTGATTGTCTTGTTTTCTCTTGCTGCTTTTAAGATTCTCTCCTTATCTTTAATCTTGGGTAATTTAATTATGATGTGCCTTGGTGTGTGCTTCCTTGGGTCCCAATTCTTTGGGACTCTGAGCCTCCTGGATCTCCTGGGAGTGTGTTCCCTTGGCCAGATTGGGGAAGTTCTCCTTCATTAGTTTTGCAAATGAGTTTTCAGTTTCTTGCTCCTCCTCTTCTTCTGGCACCCTTATGATTCGGATGTTGAAACATTTAAAGTTGTCCCAGAGGTTCCTAAGCTTTCCCTCATATTTTTGAATTCTTGTTTCTTCATTCTGTTCTGGTTGAATGTTTATTTCTTCCTTTTGTTCCAAATCATTGACTTGAGTCCCAGTTTCCTTCCCTCCACTGTTGGTTCCCTGTATATTTTTCTTCATTTCACTTTGTATAGCCTTCACTTCCTCTATTTTGAATCTGTACTCAATCATTTCTGTGATTACTGGTGTTTTAAACTATGCACCTGACAGGTTGGCTATCTTCTCATTGCTTAGTTCTTTTTCAGGAGTTTTGATCTGGTCTTTCATTTGGGCCATATTTCTTTGTCTCGATGCACCTGTTACAAGGGGCAGAGCCTTAGGTATTTGCCAGGGTGGGGCAACCCACTTTGATGCACTGTGGTGCTGTATGTGGGGGCAGGGGTCAGAGAGGGACCAATGCTACTTGCTCAGCTCTCACCCCACTTTTCAGTCACTTCCCCACTAACCACAGCAAATTGAGCCCTTCTCAGGTGGGTGGGTTTGTGTACATTTTAGGACCCCGTGGGTCTCTCCAATGAACTCTCCTGTGAAACTGGCAGTTTCTTCTGCTACTACAACCTCCCGCAGGTTTTTACCTCCAGAGGTTTTAATGCTTTCTTTCCCTGCACTGGAACCCTGGGTTGCACCATCTGTCAGACTCCCCAGCTGCTCCTTCTGGCTTATCCACATGCAATTGTGGGACCACCCGGTCCCCCAGCCACTGCCTTTCCCACCTGGTCCTCCAGCTGCTACCTTGCCACACGTTGTCTCCACCCTGGCTGAGGGGATGGCTCCACCCCTCCTACCAGTCTGGACGAATGTTTCTTCTTTAGTTCCTTGGTTATCAGACTTCCATACAGTTTGATTTTCTGACAGTTCTGATTGTTTTTTGTTTTTAAATTTGTTGTTGTCCTTCTTTTAGTTGTGCAAGGAGGCCAAGCATATTTACGTACACCTCCATCTTGGCCAGAAGTCTGCCAGGTGCTCTTATTGTTTCCTTTTCTTCCAGATTCTTGTGTCATTCCTTGTGGTTAAGGGAGAGCCTTCAAGGAGCTTAGAGAGGAGTTTTAGCAGGAGGCCTACAGTTCTTGATCTAGTCATGTCAAAGCCACATATTTTCAGTCCAGGGAAGGAAGAAAAATGAACACAGATGGGTCATTTGGTTCAGCTGACTCATTAAAAAAAAAAAAAAGCAGATGTTAAATGGATTGTTCAGAGTTATTCTGCTAGTTAATAGTGAAACTAGAACTACAATACAAATCCAAAGCCTAACAGTGTGTGTGTTCATTATTTGTGAGAGACACTGATTAGAGAACTCTCATAAATGCAGTATAGCCTGGAACATGACAAATAGTAATTTCAGTTTCTTAAGTTCTGGTCTCTCTCTCTCTCTCTGCTTCCTACCTTTTTTTCCTTTTTTTAAATAAAGACTTGTTTATTTATTTTTAGAGAGAGGAGAAGGGAGGGAGAAAGAGGGAGAGAAACCATCGAGGTCGGGTGCCCCTCGCACACCCCAGCTGGTGACCCTGGCCTACAACCCAGGCATGTGCCTTGTAGTTTGCAGGATGACACCCAATCCGCTGAGCCACACCGGTCGGGGCACGCTTCCTGTTTTTCTTAAATTTAGTTATTGTTTTGGTTTTACAGTATGTGAAGGGACCTATTTTCTGTTCTGGGAGTTCCTGGATTGGATTGAAAGGGCATAGAGTAACAAGCCTCATCACAGATATGGAGCCCAGATGACTGAGAAGAGTTTAGAGGTGCATAGATAGAAAGATAGTCTGACCCTTGGAAGTGAGGCAGAGAGAAAGGAAATTGATAGAGCCGAGGTCAACCTCAGGTGTCCTTTTGTTGCTAAGAAGTTCCGATGCCCCCTGACCTCTAGTCCTTGTCCTCATAGGACAAGAGTATGAAGATGAAGGAGGACTGGAAGAGGATGATTATTATCAGGTGATCTATTATTACACAGTCACCCCCAATTATGGTGAGTATGTATAACGCTCTGACCCTTAGCAGGATGCAGAGAGGTTTGTGGTAGACACAGTTTGCCTTCTCCTTTGCAACAGGGGAACTGGGTCAGAGAGAAGGTTTGCTATGAGCAAAGACTAACAAGGCTCATGATGTTACTTCTCAAGGTAGTAATTTTCAGTTCTTTATTTTAGATATTAGATTGTAAATGCATACACATTCACAAATATTTTTCCACATTAAAGTTCATTAGTATTAGATTATAACAGTAAATTTTACAACTTGAGCAAGTTGAAGTGTTCTGAGCAATTTCTTCCTCTTCTCATTTCTAGGTGTAGTACTACCTTTCTTTTTAGTTATTACTAATTATTTTCTCCTCCCCAGATGACTTTGGTGCAAATTTCACTTTTGATTACTCCATATTTGAGTCAGAGGAGAGGCTGGTGAGTGATATCTAAAAGGATCAGGATAGGTAACAGTGAAAAAGAAACTGGGCAATGTTGAAATGTAAATCATTAGTAGACATAAAAATGAATTTGGGCCCTGGAGGGGTAGCTAAGTTGGTTAGACTGTTGTCCCAATATGCCAAGGTTTCAGGTTCAATCCTCTGTTAGGACACATACCAGAATCAACCAGTGAATGCATTAATAGTAGAAAAACAAATCCGTTTCTCTCTCTCTCCCTCTCCCTCTCTCTCTCTTTCTTTCTCTCTCCCCCCACCCTACTCCCTCTTTTCCACTCTTTCTCTAAAATCAATAAATTAAAAAAATTTGTTTAAATGAGTTAGGTAAAGTGAAACTGGGTAGTGGGCATGAAACAGACCTGTTATAGCTGGAGAAAGAATGAAGCCAGAACCCAGTAGGTTAAGACACTGAGAAGGAAGGGTAGTCCTTGAGTCAAGGGAGTTGGTAAATGGGATGGGTACACAATCCATGCAAATGTAAGGGAGGGAGGGTCCCTGAGCTTAAGTCTTGGAGAGCAGGCAGGAAGGGTGGGAGAGGAGCCAGGAGAGGTGAAGGAGAGAAGAACTCTAGAGAATCTATGAGGATGTTGGATGGAAACTGTGATAACTCTTTGTTTCCTAATCCTTCTGAGAGCAGAACAGGTTGGATACAGAAGTAATGAAAGCAGAAGAGACTACCATTAGTCATGAAACAGAACACACAGACCGCCAGAGGCCAATAGTGAAACCAGTGACAATGGAACCAATGACAACGAAACCAGTGACAATGAAACCAGTGACAACGAAACCAGTGAGTTAATTGGGGGAGGTTGGAGGGAGATGAGACATCCCTTATCCTGGATACCCCAGGGCTGGTGACATGGAACAGAGGAAGGATTGGAAGCACTGAGCTTTGGCGGATAGGGGAACCAAATAACTAGTATTGCAATGCAGGCATTCATCTCAGCTTGACCATCATTTCTTTCACTGAGATTTAATACTAACCCTGTATACAGAACCCTGGGAAGATGTGTGCAGTTAAATTTCAGTTCAATATGTAATGCATGTAACCTATGTGTATGTAACCCATGCATAAAGCAGCTAAGGATGCTGATGATGATGAAAAACAAATCCATGATGTTGTTATCGCCCTCAAAGTATTTTATAAAATTTATAAAAGTTTACACTTACAAAACATTTAGAACTAAATGAAAAGGTTTATAACAATGTTAAATTACATACAAATTTCAGCACATATGACATAGACAAGTGCTTTAGGCAGTGGAAGGAAAGAGATCAGTACAGGAGTTGTCTGGAAGACTTTTAGAAAGTGATTGTGCTTGAGATACACTTAGAAGAATAGGTGAACTTTTGATTGATGGAATGTCATAAAAAGATGAAAGCAATTAGGAAGAATAGTTATTCCAAGAATGAAAGAGCTGCATTGATGACGGGGACATAACAAGCTTGGCATGTTTTGTGGATGAGCTATGACTGAAGGAGAGGGTATATGGAAAGGATTAGTGGGAAATTAAGGAAAAAATTCACAAGACTCTTAATATTTGCTTAGTAATTTCACATATGGGAAGATATGGCAAAATTATAGAGAATCTGAAGCATCATGCTGAAGTTTGGACTTACAAGAAATAGGGAGCCTAGTAAGTTCTTCAGGGTGGTAAAGACACAATTAAAGCATTACTTCAGAAAAAAAATTTGTATGGTTGTACACAGGATGCAATGGAATAAAGAGAGATTCTTGAGATTTGCATCATTCTCAAAACAATCCATTAAAGGCCTGGACTAGGATGGTGGCATTTTGAATGAAAAGAAAAAAAAAGAAATATTTTGAAAAAAAAAAAAAACCTTGTTTCAGTGATAATTTCATATAAGCACTAAATGAGGAGGAAATTAAAATAACTTATAAGTTTTATGCCCTAGCTGGTGTGGCTCAGTGGATTGAGCACCAGCCTGCGAAACAAAGGGTCGCCAGTTCAATTCCCAGTGTAGGGCACATGCCTGGGTTGCAGGCCAGGTCCCCAGCAGAGGGTGTGTGAAATTCAACCACACATTGATGTTTCTCTCCCTCTTTTTCCCCCTCTCTTCCCCTCTCTAAAAATAAATAAATAAAATCTTAAAAAAAAAAATAACTTACAAAGTTTTAAACATGGATGTCTGGGGAAATGGTTGACCAAGGTGGTAAGTGAGAGGTCAGAGTAGTTTAGAAGTGGTTATAAATTTGGTATTGGCCATCCTGAAAGTAGCAGAATGAGGCCAGGACTGCAGTTCTAAGTAGCAAGTCACATTTATGAAAGTAGGTGAGCTCAGGAGAGCCTGTGCACACAGATGACCAAAGACCAGTGCCTGTGCCTGTAGAAGGAGAAAGAGGAATCAGCCAAGGAAATTAGCCAAGTTTGTATTAGAAAGTCTAGAAGAGAAACTTTAATATAATCAATGAAAAGCTGCCAAGAGACCAAGGAGGAGGTTATTCATAAACCCCCCAAAAAGCAGTTTTAAGTGAGTGGTTGGAGCAAAAGCTAGATTTCGTGGAATTAGAGAGTACATTGTAAAGAAGTGGAAGAGTATAGACCAACCATTTGTGAAATCTGGCAATGAAAAAAAAAAGGCAACAGGACCAAAGTGCAGCATGAATATAGTTGAACACAGATGAGAGGAGTCAGTAGAAATGGAAAACTGATGATTGACAACAAGGACAGACAAATATTTTAAAGTATATAGTAGACTCCCTTTATATTATAAATTCCTTGAGTAGGAGCCATGTCTTAATCATATTTATATATGCCTCCTGTAACATGCAGCACAGTGACCAGTACCTAACAAATAAAAAATACATATTAAATCGAGTTGGGCCTCCCTAGCGTGGTCAGGAATGGCTTAAAGTCTCAGAGGGAAGGATTATTTATAGTGATGGGGAGGAAGGCTGATCTTCCTCTACACTCAGAGGGAAGGGAGACAAAGGTTAGTATAAACAGATGGTTATCTTTCCAGAAGGGGAAGGGGCAGTAGGATGGATAATGCTGTCCTACTGTGGGGTGACATTTGTATTTTAGCAGAGTCCAGATATGAACAATGCTGTATCCAGTCTGCAGAGTCCTGTTACCCTCCTCCTGTTCTGGGCCCTTCTTCAGGGGTGGATGTATTTCATGTAGAAGGTGAGAGTACAGCCACTAGCCTTGGGGAGTCCATGAAGCAGTTTTTATCACTATGTCTAGCTAGTTTTTCCAGCCTGGTCCATTCTCAGATGCTTAAAAGAAGAGGGGTCACATTTAGAAAAATCTTATTCCCTACCTTAGGAAACATCAAGGCAAAGACTTTAGTAATAAAGGTCATTACTTTTTCTGAACTGGGAGGATTTCAGGACTTCCTAGAACAGAAGCGGGTGGAATGGAGAAGAAACCTCTCCAGGTTCCCGTTCTGCCTTGAGGAACTAAATGTGGTTCCAGCTTGAAGGCAGTTTAAGGCATGGCAAGTGCCAGAGGGCAAAATGGGAGGGGCCCTCTAACCTGGCAGAGTCTGGAGGCAAAGTTCAGAGGCAGAAAGTGCTGGCAGATCCATAAAGTAGGGGAGAGGTGGTTGGGGGAAAGGAGTAGGGAATAGAAATCTGTATTACAAGGAAGGAACTTAAGCTGGTATTCTAAATAACTAAGAGGCAGTGCAGAGCTTTAGCAGAAGAAAGGGATGAAAAAAGGAGGGGACACACCTTCCAGGAGATGTCATGGAGAAATCTAGCTCAAAACAAGAAATCCAAGGAGTCTTCACAAAGGTGGAGGGTGGCAGGGCCAGGGGGGTTCCCTAAGTCCCCTGAACCTGGTGGTGGTTGTTTTTTCCCTTTCTTTGCTTTCTTAGGAAAGAGAAGGCTGCTATGACTTGTTGGATGGGGACTTGGGAAGAGGAAATTGGAAGATAAAATAAATAAATGAAATAATTTGGTTACTTTCTACTTCGTGAGTCTGTTCTAAAGCGGTAACACTCAAGAGAGCACGAGGATATGGGGGTGGGATGAGTAGATTAAGAAAGGGAGTTAGGTGACAATAATATTAAAGGGAGTTGGGTTTTGGGAAGAATGGAGACCACCCACAGAAAACAGATTCGTTCACAACCCATAATTCCTTCTAAATCTATTGCTTTATTTTATTATATATGGTGTTAAAACTGTGTTTGGGGGGAGTTGAAATTTACTCAAAGCGCTTTTCTTTTTATAAAATAAGCACATTGTTAAACGTATGTAAAATATCAAAATCTACTTAAAATAGATTTTAAAAATTCACACCCTCCTCCATTCTCCACCCCAACACCCCCACTCGCAAACAACATGCTTTTTCCTGTTACTAATTAGGGCAGTCAGGGATATACTTTATTTGTTTGTTTGTTTATTATTTCTTTCTCCCTCTCTCCTCGAGACCCTAATCAGAACCGGGCTGCCCCCTTGCGGTCTTTTCTATGTCACAGCCTCAATCAGCCTACAGTCCATGAGCCCCATCACCTTTTCACTGTACGATATCAATACTGCGAGGGGTAGCAAATAGTAAAACTCTGGACTTGTCACCTTCCCGCCTTCAAAGCCTTTCGAATCCCTCCAGGGAACAAATGAAACTGAAGCTGAACAAACACATAATCTACAAGATAAGGGACCTCCCCCACTCCGTTCCTTTACTAGGAATCACAGAATTCAGGGCGCAGAGCCCGAGGAACCCGGGTGGAAAAGTCTGGAACAATCGAGTTCAGCTTTGACCTCTAGTGTCGTGGCGGGCTGGCATCTGAGCTGGTAACGTGCACGGCGGGTTATGTAAGGAAAGGGCTGAAGGAGCCGCCCCAGCGGGAGCCCGGGAGAGGACGCGATGTTCTCGGCAGCAGTCCCCACCCTCCTCGCCCAGCAGGGCCGGAGGCACCCAACTGGTAGGAGAAAGAGGAGGGTACGGTGAAACAGAGACCAAGGAATCACGAGGGCTGGGCCGCCAAGAGGGGTGAGGATACACAGTAGCACGCCTCCATTCTAACACACGTTGCAGAAGCAAGTCGCTGATGGTTCCACGTGCTGCACCCGTGAGCGGAGGCGCTCAAAGAGGGAACAGAAGGGCCGACTCGCAAGGAGTAAGGAGCCCCATATCTCGAGGCTCGCGCCTTAGGTCACACAACCAGTTGGCACACCAAAACCAAGCGTTTCCGGCGCACCACCATCCTATTTAAGGTCACGAGTTCCGCCTTTTTCCTCCCCTCCCTTCTTTTCCACTCTTTCTCCATCCTCCTCCTTTCTCATCACCGGGTCCTCTCCGCGAGCCGCATGTAGGGGCGGAGCACGGAATGCTGCCCTTCCAGCCAATCGCCACCTGAATGCCTCTTTATTGGCCGAGCCCCTATACCCTGTAGCAAATGGGATATGAACTTCAGCAGCTACAGTCACGTGCCAGTGGCTAGACGGCCAATGAGGGGGCGAGGTCTGTGTACGCAGGGGAAGGCACGTGCGGAGCTGCACGTGTTTGGGAGGGGGAAGGGGCGGGACCCACAGGGAGCGAGGCGGAGGTTGGGGGCTGAGACCGGTAGAGTGTGAGAAGCTGGAGAGAGCCTGGTCCGAGCCGAGCCACACAGGTGAGGAGAACCGAAGGACTTGCGGCGGTGTGCGTGGGATCAGCCCCGGAGAGAGTGAGTTTAGGGCCCTCTTGGTATTCGGAGCGATCGTATCAGGTGGCAGAGGGACCCAAAAGAGTACGGAGGAGGGATCCTAATTAGAAAGACTTGGAGGAGGCGGTGTGTGTGTTGCGGGGTGGGGGTGACCAGGGGTCTCTAAGGGAGGCGGTTCCTGCGGAGTCACTAGGTGGGTTCCGGTGCCGGAGATTTAACGCTCGCGGGTGGTGCGACCTCAGATGGAGAGGCTTGCTGTGGGATCAGGCGAACAAAGGACCAGACTGGGGTAGGTGTTAAGTCAGGTATTTACTCTGAAGTGAGGGAAGATGGAGCGGGAGTCTGTCAGGCCAAGAGCTGCTCTGCGGAAGCAGAGAGGCAGCCCGGGTTCTTAATGGAGGCGGGGGAGATGGCTTTTCTATTTTGCCTGAGACAGGTAATTTGGGGGGGAGAGAGAAGAGATACCCCGTACAGTGCACCCCAGTCTCCCAGTCCGTTTCCTAATTCTCAGGCGCTGGTTTCCAACTCCTTCGCTTTGCTCTTCAGTTGCAGGTCCGATCTTTGAGTACTCCAGGAGCTGCTCTCCAGCCCCTGCGTCCGAACCTATGGATTCCCCGTCTAGCGTTTCTTCCTGTTCTTCCTCCTCGCTCCCTTCCTCTTTTTCCACCTCATCAGGGAACAGTGACTTGGGCTTCCCCTCCGATAGTGACGGGGAGGACAAAGGGGCCCGTGGCCCCCGGCCAGACACTGTTGGGCAGAGGGGAGGTTCTCGGCCCAGCCCGGGTCCTATTCGCTGCAGGCAACGACCCAAGGCTTCCAGTAATCAAGACACAGCATCGCACTCGGAACAGCGAGGCTTAGCTTCTCCTATGGCGGGCTCTGGGGTCAAAAGATCAAGAGATCGTCAATTGGATTCCAGTCTAAACATCCATGGTTGTACCACAGAAGGAGACCTGCTCTTTGCCCAGAAGGTAAGAGAAAGCCGGGGAAAGAAGACGCTACTGGAGTACCCTGCTGGCTGATAAGGACCCTGTGAGGATAGTATTGGCCCTCAGATTTGAAGCTGCAAGAAAACGGTAGTAGTGCGGGCAATGCTTGGTCATCTTATAGCCTTTGACCTGTTTTCCTACAGTGTAAAGAGCTCCAGGGATTCATACGTCCTCTCACAGACCTGCTGAATGGGCTGAAGATGGGCCGCTTTGAAAGAGGTAATTATTTGATTAGTTGCATTCATCTGAGCTAGGTTCCTCTCTCAAAATATGTTTTAAATGTGTATTTCTCTTAAGTCTTTGTTTGGGTCTTGGATTTTTTTTTTTAATTCTGTCACTTAATTTCTTTGTGGGAATCCGTTTTAACCTCCCTCTGTCCTTTATCAGAGTAAATTCTTGAATTTCAGTCCTTGATCTCTTTCTCACTCCCTGAACCCAGGATTGAGCAGTTTTCAGCAGAGTGTGGCAATGGACAGGATCCAGCGTATCGTAGGTGTCTTGCAGAAGCCACAGATGGGGTAAGTTCTCTTGGTTCCTCATAAAAAAAGAGATATCGTCAATCCTGTCATCTTGCTTTTGTCACACTTAATTTTTTTTTAATGTCTTTTGTACAGAGAGCGTTATCTGGGAACCCTGCTACAGGTAGAAGGAATGTTAAAGACTTGGTTTCCTCACATAGCTGCTGAGAAGTCATCACTGGGTAGTAGCAGGCACCAGCTGACCAAGGTAAGAACTTAAAAAATCTCAAGGAGAGATGGGAGAATAACCAAGGAAATGAAGTATACGTTTAAGAATGGGCTCCCTCTTTCATTTCCTTCTGAGTCTTTTCATCTTTTCAACAAGTTTCTTTTCAGGGAAGGGAAAGATGAAACTTCCTTTATTGTCTTGATTCTTAGATATTTTTTTTGGCTCTATCACTACAAAGAATTCCATGTAGCAGTTTAATCTGCTTTCTGCATAGATAGAGAAAGCTTTTTACTTGGACACATGATTCATGCAGGAAGACGCTTCAGCTTCCTTCTGCAAATTCTTGCTCCTCTGCTGCCCCTGATATGTGTTCCTTCTCCTTTTTACTCCTGCCCAAGTATCCTTGTACCAGACCCTGTGGAAGCATGGGTTTATGGACTGGTCATCAAAAGTAAGAAGTACATCACTGGGAGAGAGGAAGACAGCTGTGGGGCACCCATGGGGGAGTGTTGGATGATAGAGCTCAGACCTAGTATGAAAGTGACCTATTTTCTGGGCCTTCATATTACGGGTATTTAAGGGGCACTCAAATGATAGGGAGGAGAAAGTTTCCTATAGATAATAGATAGTCCTTGTTTTCAATCAACCACAGTTACCACTCTGAGAATAATTGGTTTAAAAATAAACAGGGGCCCTGGCCAGGTGGCTCAGTTGGTTGGATTATCATCCCACTACACAAAGGGTTGCTGGTTCGAGTCCCCAGTCAGGGCACATGCAGGAGTCAACCAATAAATGCATGAATAAGTGGAACAACAGATCAGTATTTCTCTCTCAAATTCTTTTTAAAAAATTAATGGTTTGGGGTGGGGGGGGCAGGAAGTGCTCTGGCCAGGTAGTTCAGTTGGCTCTATACACCAAGGTTGCTCCTCAGTCAGGGCACATAACAGGAATCAACCAATGAATGCATAAATAAGTGGAACAACAAATTGATGTTTCTCTCTCTCATTTTCTCCCTCTCTAAAATCTGTTTTTTAAAAAACTTCACATAACAATTAAAAATAAGCAGGAGGAATAGAATGAAACCTTACCGTTTATGACAGCATGGATGTTGTCCAGAGTATCATGCTAAGTGAAATAAGTCAGAGAACGGCAAATACCATATGATTTCACTCATATGCCTACCCTAAAGAACAAAAGAAATAAGCAAACAAAATAGAAACAGGCTCTTAGATACAGAGAACTGACTGATGGTTGCCAAAGGGGAGAGGGTTGGAGGACTGGATGAAAACGGTGAAGGGATTAAGATGTACAGGGATTAACGTTGGCAGTTATGAAATAGTCATGGGAATGTAAAGTACAGCATAGGAAAGATAGTCAATGGTATTGTAATAACTATGGTGCCAGGGGGGTACTGGAAATATGGGCGGGCCGCTTTGTAAAGTATATGATTGTCTGCCCACTATACTGTGCACTTGAAACTAATACAAAATAGTATTGAATGTAAATTGTATTTTAAAAAAAATTTAAAAAAGCATGCAGATCTTGCCTGCATATTAACTTATACTTTGTAAAGCATTCAAATAGGAAATTAGAATTTAAAATACAGAAATTGGAAAATGATTCCAATTAAAAGAAATTCTAAAATGAATTATAAGCAGTACAACCCATGGGACTGTTTTGTTTTTGTATATGTCTTAATATCCAGGGCCCAATGTAGTATGTAGTACTTAGTGGGCCTTCAGGTATTTGTTGAATAAATGAAAGTATAATTTGGTTACTAAAACTGTTACTTAATTATGATCTGGCAGGAAATTATCTGTTGCATAAGACAAGGTATGTTTGCTTTGCAAACAGGTCCCAAGGAAAGCAAAGTTTTGAGCAATGTGTAGAGTTAATCTGAAAACTTTCTCATAATTTCTTTTCTCTTTTCTCTTCATCCCTAGCATTTTCCAAGCCACCACAGTTATCCAGCTACTTCTTCTCTAGCACGTCCTGTGGAAAAGATGGACCAGACACAGCTAGGACATTTAGTACTGAAACCAAAGCAGCCTTGGCATCTCACTGAATTGCCACCTATGAACCTCACTTGGATCCACACCACTCCAATTTGCAACCCTCCTCTCAGTTCCCCAAGTACCATCTCCTTTAGCCATGGTCCTTTAGGCACTGGAACCGGCGTTGGTGTCATCCTTTTTCTCCAGCATAGAGAGCAGCCCTTCACCCACTCTGCCCCGAACACTCCAGTTCCACCTACTACAGCATCTCCTGGCATCCCTGGTTATCCTAAGAAAATATCTGGAGAGGGACCTCGTTGCCACAGTTTACCAGTAACCTTGCCATCAGACTGGAGCTGTACCCTATCCCTTCGTGATCTACCCAGCATGGACAGAGAGACAACTGTGGGACACCTAGAGCAGATGAGAAGCCATCCTCTAGTTACTCCTGATGTCCATCCTCTCAACCCCTAATCTAGGACTTGAGACTGTGATTTCTAATTTGTGTAAATACATGTCTATATATGTGTATGTGTGTATATATATATTTAACTTTCAATGTGTGCATTTGTGTTGAAGGAATAGAAATCCTTTCTGATTAAAGAAATTTTATATTTAAACACTTTGCTGATTGGGGGGAAATTGAAAACTTCTGTTTCAAATACCCACATTTATCCTCTGAGCTGCAGAAAAGAAGAAAGGATGGGAAGTTTTGTGAAATTGAGCTTCACCAAGTTAGAGGTCTGGATGGAACAACAGAAGTCCTGTGGGAGAGGGAGAGGGACTCTGCTGCTATCTTCCTAGGGAACACCCTTGAGACAGTTACAGGGCTGAGCTGACGGTGTTTGTCATTCAGGCTCAGAGACTAGTACATTTCCCTTTGTGTCTCTCACTGGTGTAGTCATCCGGCTGGCCCAGACTAGCAGGTTCTTCTGCTTTGCGATAGCTCTTTGCCTTAATGGGAACTGTTAATACTGTGGATAAATGCATATATAATCTGCCATCAGAGGTGGGATACAAGAGCCAGAGCAGGCACTGTGGTTGCCAGTTTTGAAGAGGAAGGGGTGCCCTAGAACTGTTACAATGGGGAGTCCCCGCACAAAATGGGCCTCAGCCTAAAAAGCTGCAGCTGCTAAATTGTTACTGTATTACTGTATTTATTACAAACAAGTGTCAGCATACTTTTTCCAACCTTTGTATGTTGGAGTAAGGAAGGCTGCCTACCCACTGTTAGAAAGTGGCAAAAGTTAGGTCTATGAATTTACCTGTATCTACTCTTCTCCATATAGCACTCTTTGTGATTTGTCTCACTTTCCACCAAAACCATATCCTCCCCAATTCTAAGTCTTGGCAGTATATGAGGCTATGCAGTCATTTTAGTTATTGTTTATTGGCTACTGAGCATGTTTCTCACAGCTAGTTATATACCTTTCCCCTATGTTTCAAGTCCTCTGTTCACTGAATAATTGTTACCTTTTATTTCAGAGAACATGACCTCCTTTCTAAGGCAAACCTCTCCCTTTGTACTTCTGGTTACTCTCACTTCTACATCACTTATCCCCTCTTCCTCTTGTAACTTCAATTTGTTACTGAATTATTTATTACTTATTTATCCTACAGGTTTGATTAGGTGCCCCCGTCTTGAAAACCACTCTTGAGCCTGATTGCCCTCTCTCGTTTTTTTCTCCGTAATTCTTGGCAGAGTAGTCTGTACTCTTTCTGACTCCTTTTAACCCCTGTCTTTAACCTCTTGCAGCCTAGCCTCCACTTTCTCACTCTGCTACACCCTCCCAAGTCACTAATGAGCTCACAGAATTAGAGTATTATAGTGTAGTTACCACCCAATCAATAGAGAGGTCCAGGGAGCCTTTACAAAAACTACGTACTTCATGCTCTCGCTATCACCTGACACTCTTGATGCTGCCTACTGAAACTCTCCTCCCTTAGATCCCATGACAGCACACCAGCCAAATTCTCCTCTTACCTGTCTGGCAACAACTCCTATAAACTCGTAATGGCCCCATTTCTGCCCACTCCAGAGTGTGGGTGTTCCCCTAGGCTCACACAGTGACTCTTCTCTGACAACATTCTTTCACCTAAAGTCTTCATCTTCTTTCATGGCTTTAATTATTGCCTCAATTTTAGAAGACTGTAAAAACTTCATCTCCAGTCACAGTCTTTCCCCTGAGATGACATACTGAATGTCTTAACTTCCTGCTAGAGAGTTCTATTTACATGTTACCAACACTTAACCCTTATTGAAAATTTCAGCATTTTAGAGCCAGGAGGTACCATTTATATCTGGTCCAACTCCTTCATTTTATACATGAGGAAACTTAGGTGTCCTGTGCAAGAACACGTTAGTACAGAATGGTTGGTTTATAGTCTCATGCTTTTTCCAGTGCGCACCACTCAAAATTATCTTTCCTTTAAAGGTGTTCTGTTCTGCCCTTTTATGTTCTTTTTTTCTCCTGTTAGTGCTGTCGATGGTACCATCACTTTTTCTGATAGCTAGGCTTTAAATTTGGTGTCATTCAGGCACCAAATCCTTTTTATTCTGTATTTGGAATATCTTAAAATTCATTTCTTCCCATTCATTCCATTGCCACCTCTCTGGTCAAAAGTGACTGTAGTGATAGTTTTCCTTACCTCGAATCCCTTACCACTGATAACCAGATAAATTTTCCTAGAATAGTGCTATGCATGTCATTCCCTATTCACATCTTCAATGGCTCACCAGTGCTTTAAAAGCCTAAAACCTTTAGTCAAGATCCCTATGCTCCCCTGCATGATCCTTCTGTTCCAGTTTTCTTGTTTGTTCCTGAAAACTGTAAGCCTTTTTGCCTCTGAACTCACATTCATGCTCTTCACTTTGCCCAGTCTTTCCTGGTTCTGTCAACTAAACCCTACCGTTCTTCCAATGATTAACTCAAATTCTTCCAGTTATTCTCTCCATTAAACATGATATATGTAGGTCAGGCTTTGGCCCATAAAATGAGATCAAGTACATAAAATGACTAGTACAATGTATGGTATATAGTAGACCCTCAAAAATTACTTTTCTCTTCCTTTCTTTCAAGTATTTTTATATTTTATCCCACTTGATACCCATGACAAATTTTGTGTGATTGAGGGCTGATATTAGTCCCATTTTACAGATTAGGAAATAGACTGGGAGTTTAAGTCAGGGATCAGCAAGAGCCAGGTAGTAAATATTTTAGGCATTGTGGGCCATGCATCTCTGATGCAACTATCCAACTCTGCCACTGTAGCCCAAAGCAGCCATACATAATATATAAACAAATGAGCACAGCTATATTCCAATAAAGGTTTATTTACAAAAACAATGGTGGATTTGACTTGTAGGCAGTAATTTGCAGACTGCTTGTTTAAGTGACTTGTTTGAGGTCATATGCCTCACATCAGAATTTGGACAGACTCCAGATCTGGCTTCTATTCCAGTGCTTTTCCACCACATTACGCTGTAGGCTATATAACTTATTTTCCATTTATCATATGCTACCTTGTATTACTTATCTTTTATGTCTACATACTGTCTTCTGGTGGTCCAAGGGGCTCTGGATGTTATCAACTGTACCTGGGACAGAGTAGGCATTCAATAAAACTTTGTTGCTAAGCATAATGATGTCCCAGTCTAGCTCTATTATGCTATTTTGAGCCTGGCTTATTCCGAAATAATCAGTAAAACTGATGAAGATGCATGTGTGTGTGGTACGCACGCTTTCATAGAGGAGGTACTCAAAGAACCTTATTGCACAAGTACCTGGCTGGGACCTCTTTCTTCTTTTGAGCCATTCTTTACTATTTCCCAGTAGCCACCCGATGTGAACTTATGTGAATAACCATAAATGGATATGTAGAAGTGACATAGGAATAAAAGGAAAGCTGTTTCCATAGTGAGAAAGAAAAAAATATATATTTCTCTAGGTCTCACTAGGAGGCAAAATGACATAAAAGAGTCTTCCATTTTAAGCCCTGCAGGTGTTTCCCATTTCTTTAGTGACGCAGCTGAAAGATGATGTTATAGGAAACTCAAGATATGTTCATTTTGCTTCTTTTCCTTAGTTTTTAGACAGATGGGGGGTGTGACGCTGTTTTCATCCGGAGAGCAGACCTCAAAGAATCCGTGTTCTTTGCGACGAGAAAACAGGAAGCATGCCCTGGGAGCTTCGCCTATTTAATTCATTTTCCTTCCGAAAGAAGAAATGGCTTAAATATCTATAAAAGACTTTATAGGATTAGGGGGTATAAAATCGGGCCGATCTCAGGAGCCTTAGGACAACAACCCCGAGATGGTGAAGAAATTGTCTGCAGGGAATTTAAGGCAACGAGTATTTTGTCAGATGTGGAGTCTGGGGGGTGGGGTCTGGTGGAGACGGCTGGAGAGGCAGTCCACCGGGCCTGGAAGAACGTTGCCATGGTTTCCGCGTAGTTTTTCTCCTTTCAGTCCTGGTTTCCTTGACGGGCGAGAGGATTACGTATTTCCGGTTCCGGTTGCGAGCGGGCTCAGCTACGTCTGGGTCGGGCGGGCGCCGGGTGAGGAACTGTTGCCGGGGGTGGGGAAAGGAAGGCCGGTACAGCCGGAGGGCACGTTTGCGCTCAGTTGTCCCCCTTGAGACAGACTCGGTTCCCAACTCCCACCTCAACCCTCCTGGAGCTGTGAGCAGTCATGGGGTCGGGGTGGGGAGGTCTCTGCAGCGCGTTCTGATCCTCTCGTGCTCGCCCACGTCAGTCCCCGTGGTGACAGCCTGCTACCGTCTCTTTGCTTCTCTACGGTAGGGCTCGTATTGGCAAAAAGAACGAGGGAGTCTTGATAACGATTCGCGTGCGATTTGTAGGCTATGAGTACTTGCACGTGCCCCTGTCTTATTCTTGAGCACGTTGCATATCCAGAAACTGAATATGCGATAGAGCGTGTATTCTGTTTCTTTTTCTGACCTGGTCTCTATATTTTCTCTCCCTGTTCTCCATCATCCTTCAGGTCCTACAGAGTGAAGACTTAATTCCAAGGTCATGGCAAAACATCTGAAGTTCATTGCCAGGACTGTGATGGTGCAGGAAGGGAACGTGGATGGTGCATACAGGACCCTAAACAGGTAACTGTTAAGGGACCAGAATCATGTTTAGATCACTCTCTTGAGAAGTGCGGTGGTGGTTCTCTCCCCTCCCCTGCCACACATTGTTGTAAAACCAGCGGCACGCCCAGGTGTTCGTAGTCTTGAAACTTATCCACCCCTCAGTTTACTGTCTTCGAAATGAAGTTCTGAAAAACCTAACTGTATGAAGTTATTCATCAGCAGTCATTCCTTTGGTGGTGAACCTGAATTCTATCCAAGACCTCAAATAGAACTAAAGGGAAAATCAAGTTATAAAGTTACCAACGCAGCAGGAACATTGTACACGGATGCATAGAAAACTGACCCAGGGGTCGGTATGGGACAAAGATAATGGGAAAGATGAATTCAGATTTCAGATCTTGGAGAAGCAAGAGATGAAGGACGTTGTAGGTTTAGAGGAAGGTTACTTACATAAGCAGAAACGTAGCGATGGAAGTGTACTGGCTGGAGTGGAGGAGCTATATTGAAATGACCCTGCTGAGGAATGCCTTACTACTGTTGTTTCTCAAGTAAGTTGTTCCTTAGCCTTCCCGTGGCTATAAGGATTTAGACTTTATGGCATGGCTCATTCATTATTTTCTCTCTCCTGTGTGAAACAGAGCTTGGAGAAACAAATTCTTGTTGAGTTGAATTATCAAAGAATTGATGAAAGAGATCTTAAGAGATTTTATGAGGCGGCCCTCTACCTTAATGCCAGTAAGGTGGTAGCTATATTTTACTGGTAAGGGAGGTCTAGGAAGATGAAATTAAATTTCTTGGTCACACAATTATTGAATGATGGAGAGGAGTGTAAAACCCATCTTTCTAGAGCAGTGTTCTTTGCTCTATGTTACTAGATTATTTACTAGTTTCTCTGGAAATAAGAGAGACCTATGGCAGTCATTTTCCAATTGGGAATCCTTAACTTGACTGGGTTTAAACATTGGTGGGGTTCTTGGGGACTGAGAGGGTAAATGGGAGAGAACCTAGTTCTTAGCAAAACAAAAAGTTCTAGGTGTGATTGGCTGGATGGCAGAAAACCATAGTACATGAGGGCAAAGATGTTGTCAGAAGCTGTATTAATGAAAAGCAGTTGCTGGCTCAGGATGGCTTGTGTGTCTTTTAAAAACGAATCTGGTGTTGGATCAGCCCTATTTCCTCATTCTGTGTCTGTGCGTGCCAGTTGTTTCCTCAGGCAGAAGCTGTTCCCTCTGTGTTACCATTTATGTTGAAAGGGAAGGTAATCAAGTACCTACCTACCTGGTGGTAAGATACCCTCTTTCATTTTTTTCTCTTGCTGCTTATTCCCACCTCTACTATTTTATTCCTTCTAGTGGCATGTCTGTGAGAGGGTTGTGGTGTTTAATGACTTTTTGCTGCCCCTAATTGAAAGCAAAAAATGAGTCTTACTGACTCTGTAGTGAATTAGGTAGTGAGATGAAATACTAAATTTGGGGAAAGGAAGTCTTGCAGATTACTCCACCTTTTTTCTGACTTCTCTCTGTAAGTCTTTCTCTGTGTGATATATTTTGGTGGGCCTTCTAGTCAGGGTGATTGAGATGTTTGTATTATTGAGGAATGGCAAACGGGAGCTGTTAGTTATGGTAAAACAGATTTCAAAGTCTCAGCTGTAGCATCCCTCACGTCCTCTATTCCTGAAGTGCAAATAACACAAAAGCAAGAAGTTTGTCATTAGGCAATTAGTTACTTTGACAAAAACCAGAAATAATTTGTGTTGCAGTGTTATTGTACTTACTACACCATTTCTTAAAAATCAAGAAGGTAGCTGCAACTTCAGTACTTTTGGCCAAGCCACAGCTGAAAATAGTTTTTTCATATAAATGAGGTTAAGAGCACAGACTCTGAAGCCGACTCCCTGGTTCAGATCCCAGCTCTGCCACTCACTAGCTTCATGATCTATAGTAAGCTACTTAATGTCTCTCTGCCTCAGTTTTTTCATCTGTAAAGTGGAGCTTTATAGTACCCTCACAGGGCTGATGTGAGGATTCATTTCTTATAATTAAGGTGCTTAGAACAGTGTTTGGCACATAGTAGACATTATGTGTTAGCTATTATAATTTGGAACCTATTTTAAGGAAGTTTTTACCGTTTTAGTTTGGCTTTGTGGGCAGTTTGTTTATTTTGAGAGATTGAGAGTTTGCTGTAGTGGTTTTTCCTCTGTCCTCCTTGATCATCAAGTTATGCTCAAGGTGACCTAGAGATGAGAAAATTAGAAAATAATTCAGCTTTATTTTGTCATGAGGATTTGTTTTGCTATTGGTATTAAATAGCGTTTCTGTATAGACAGTGATAACTTTTCAACCAAGGCTCCTCCTATTTATTCTCATAATCTCACTTTAAAATAACAGTATCGATTTCCTCTGTATGCACTCTCTCTCATCCCCCATTTCCACTTAAAAAAATTTAAAACCTGGAAAACAAGGTATTTCTAATTTCCTGCCTGGAGGAGCTATAGGGTTTTGCTTTTTCTGTTGGGTGGTTTTGGTTTTTTTTTTCTCCTCTTATCTGAAAATCCTTCCTGATCCTAGGTGGGTGGTAGGTGAGGAAAGAATAAATAAATGGCAGAAGGTGAGGCTCCTTTGTTTGGATACCTTTTGCCATCTAACCTGGCCTGGCACTATCTCAGCCCTTGTTCTTAGGCTCTTTTCAAATATCTCTCAATTTGTTTCTTTCGTCCTTTCTCCTTTTTGTTAAACAGCAGCCCCATACTTCTTTTAAGGGTCTATTGTAGTCAGAAACAGCAAGAGATTGGTCACTGCAACATCATGTGGTTTTCAACCCTGGCTGCCAATTAGAATAACCTGGGAACCTTTTAAAAAAATTTTTGCTGCCAGGGCACAACATGAGACTAAATTAGAGTCTCTGGATAGTGGCATCTAACCAGCAGCATTTTTAAAAATGTCCCATGAGATTTTAACATTCAGCCAGGATTGTGATAGGCTTCTTAAGGAGGGAGACCCGTGCTTTTTCATTTGATATCCTTTGCACTTACCAAAGTGTCTGGCACATAGAAAGCTCTTAGTAAATACTTACTTAACGAATGTAAATGTTCCTTTTATCTCTGTCAGTCCTTTGCTTTAGTGTTTGTCAAACCTTTCCACTGAAGGATCCTTAACAGCAGAGAATGAAGGAACCACAGGCATACCTTGTTTTATTGCACTTCATTTTGTTTTTGTAGGTGTTGGGTTTTGTTGTTGGTTTTTTTTTTTAACAAATCAAGGCAAGACCCCCACCCCCACCAACCAGCAAAAAGATTACAACTAGCATTACTGCAATATTCACTTTATTCCAGTGATCTTGAACCGAACCTGCAATATCTCTGATATGCCTGTATGGGACTTCTGCCTCCACAAGCAAAAACTACATGGAATGTGTTCGAAGTCTCTCTCTCTCTGTCTCTTTTTTTTAAATAAAATTTTAGGTGGTTTTTAAAAGATTGGTTGCCATTACATCTCTTTTAGGGCTAGCATCCTCACCCCCACTCACGTTAAAATTGCTGCTCCAGGTAGATGCATCAAGTTTATTCAGAGACTTTTGTCTCTGGATGGTAAGTACCCTGGGCACTCTGTCAGTTATCGTAGTTACGAAACGTGGCATTGCTTTTTCTTCACTTCAGGGATTAAAACACCAATGTAGGAATAGGTTTGGGGAAAACCTGTTTACAATGCTTAAAAAGAATTTAATCAGGAAGAAGAGGAGTGGTTAGGCAGAAAAATAAATGAAGAAATTCAAGTCTCAGAGACTCAGGTCCTGACATGTGATGATGTCTTTTCGGCTTCCTTACGAGTTGGAAAAGCTGAACTTTGTGGCTGGGATTACCTAGGGAAGCAGTGCAGGAAGGGCACATGGTTGGAAGGAGCCAGCTTTGGGCAAGTGTGGCAGTGATTTTTATTATCTGTGGGGGGAATCCTTATTTTGTCAATTTAGGTTTTAGGAAGCTGCATTTCTATTCCTTTTCATCTTGAAGTATTAGATGTATATCCCCTAAGTTGTATTTTAACTTCAGGAATAAAATGATATTTTAATCTATATTGTTTTGCTGTTAGAATACTTTTCTAGGCAAGGACCTTTATGCATGCAGATATGGGCAAGCTGGTCTTGGTGTGTCCCAGGCTTGCTGTCTGTCAGACACAGTATTTTCTGATGCATGCTTCTTCACTTGTTTTCTCTGCTTTTCCCTCTCTCTGGCCACCTTTTCTGTATATATCTATTACATACCAGGGTTCTTATCTCCCTCAGCTTTCTGACAGTTGGTAGTTTAAAATAAATTATATGTTCCGTGATCTAATTACAATAGTAGACAGAGAACAAATGAGAGGAGAGGGAGGTGGTTAAAACTTTAGCATGTTTGGAGGGCAGAGGCAGTCTTACAAAGAAATCAGCCTATGTGTCTGCCCAGTGAGATCACCACAAAATGTTTGTTATATAACCGAGGGCCCTGATTGGTGCCCTGGGATGAGGAGATAGAGAGTGAGGGCTGCTAGGAAGCCCTGCATGATTGGCCGGCCCCAAGCAAGGAAAGGCAAGCACATCGGACCAGTGCCCAGATGACCCCTTTTATTTCTGGTAGGCGAGTCCTGCTCATGACATAGGCTAGCCACACTGACATGTGAGTCTGCCACCTCCAACCTCCCCCGGCTCCCTTTACATAATCTGTTGAATTTCACTGAAACTGGCAGCTGATTTCACCTTTAGTGTTACGTTACCAGGCACCTGAACTCATGGCTGATCTGTTTACACCAAAGCTCTTGGTCTTCTGGTCTTCTAGTCCTTGAATTACCTTTAGAAGCAAAAACATCATTAGTTAACACCCTCTCTATTTACTTCATGAGTTCTACACAACTCTTCCTGTATCCTTTTTATTAAAAATGAGTTGAGTAGATGCCTCTGCCATAGGAATTGTGGAGCATTGGAAGATAATCTGTGCTTTTTAGGATAACTAGAAAGTGCAGAGTAGGGGAGGGAATCTCTGTCTGGAATCTTGGAATTTATTTGGTCTGTGTTTAGGAATAAGTTAGAACCATCCAGGGAACACCATTAGCAACCCCATACTTACATTAGGGGTCACCAATCTTTTCATTCTTTTCCCTCCTCCACTCTTTTATTCTTCTGTTACTTCTTTCTTGTCTTGTTTTTTGTTGTTTTTTTGTTTTGGGGTGTTTTTTTTTTTTTTGCCTCACCACACAAGCATTACTGGTAAGATGATCACTTCTGTTTCAAATCCCTTTTGAAACTCCAGTAGGATACCTGAGTATGTGTCTAAACTCCCTCCTCCCTTTGCAGTTTTCTTTCATTCTGCTTTTAAATCGTCTTTGTCACTCCAGTAGGATCCCCTTCCTAGGTGAAGGCACATCCAGGGGTCTCTGTTCTTTTTAAAGTCACTCCTCAAATTCAGTCACTCTCCTTGTCCTTTTATATTATATATACATTTTTTTTTCTTTTAGGGACTTTTTTCTGTTTTTTTTTCTCTAATAGACTAGTGTCTAGCCAAAATGTGGATTTCATTAAACAGTAGTAAAAGAGGTCTAGACAGAGCTAAATGCTTAGATGTTTGGATTAAACCTTTTCCTGAGTGAGCCATGTCTTCTTGGCTTCCGTATCTTTCCTCTGATGAAGGAGCCTCGCCCAGCTCTTTTTCCTCATTGTCTCCTTTGCCCACGAGCACTGCTGTAATATGTCTTCTGAACCTCAGTGGATTTTGTTTGAGAAGCAGAATACTTTGTGGAGCACAGCACTAGAAAACCTGAATTCTATTTCTAGCTTCATTTTGGGGTCTTGGGCAGGTCAGCCTCCCTGAACTTCAGGTTCCTAATCTTTAAAGAAGTGACATTACATACTTAATCAATTTCAGAGTCTTGTAATTAAGATCATGGGAGTGAAAAATGCTATCTAAAATCTAATGTGCCATCTTAATAAAAGTAATATTGTGGCTCTCTGAGCCAATATTCCCAAGAACTGTTGTCTGTTATAAAGTCACTTAATCCCTTGCTCTGTGGGCATTTGTCAGTCACCTAGAGGATTCATTTTTGCCATATATTTACTGATAAAAGCTTAATCTCTAACCTTAAGCACTCAACCCAGTAAGGGAGATTTAAAACAACAATAACAAAAAACACGGTTAAATACAGCACTGTCTGAGTAATACTTTAAAAGAGGCATCAACAGAGTGCTCTCCGGGGTATTGGCTACCCCGGGACTGTCAGCAGCACCGGGGAACTGTTAGAAATGCCTGTTGTTGGGCTTCACCCTAGATCTATGGAATCAGAAACTGGAGGTGCCCGGCAGTCTGTGTTTTGACAAGTTTTCCTTTGCTACATGATAATGATTGAGAACCACTGTGCTTTGGAACAGAGGGAAGGAGTGATTAATTTCACCTAGACGAGTTTATAGACGAAACTACTGATTTGGGCCTTCAAAGTATCAATAGGATTTCATAAAACAGAAAAAATATAGGAATGAAATTCCAAATAAAGAGAACATCTTGAGCAAAGGTAAAAAGTTGATATACAGTATGTTTGGAGAGCTGCACCTAGTTCCGTGTGACTAGAACATAGGCTTTATGGGACAAGTTATTAAAAGATAAAGCTAGAGAAATAGGGTGAAGCTCAATTGCTCAGGGCTTCAGGCTCACACTAGTGGTTCTCAGATTTACCTGCACATTGGAATCACTGTGTTCCTCTCCCCTCGTGATTGAATATATCTGGAGGGTGGCCTACGGGGTGGAATTTTTAAAAGATCCCCAAGTGATTGTAATGTGCAGACAAGATTGGGAACCACTGGCTTAGACTATTTTGTATATTGGGAAAGATTTTTTAGCATCAGAGTGACATGATCCAGTTTATGTTTTAGGACAATAATTGGTGTGGAGAAGGAGAATGGAAATAGGGCAACCTACTTACCCTTCACAATTCAAATAAGTTTAGGAAGGCTTCATAGCCACCTTCTCATTCTCAGGTCCAGTTTAAATGATTCTCCTGTGTGCGTCTATAGCAATGTTTCCCTTATCTTTGCACGTATCACATTCTTGTAATTCTTGTATAACTGTCTCCTCTACTAGACCTCAGAGTTAGGGAACCATGTCTTAAGTTTTTTTGTCTTTAGCATTTAATGCAGTGTCTGGTACAGAACTGGGATTTAATAAATACTTTTTGATTAAATGATCAGTTAGGTGATTATTTCAGTACTCCAGGTACAAGGTAATAAAGACCATAATTAGAGCTATGGCCATAGGAAAGGAGAGAAGGACGAGATCTAAACCATTTCAAGATACAAAATTTATAGGATATGGTAACATCCTGTGGATGTAGAAGATAAAGGGGAACTCCTAGTCCAGGATTATACTGATTTTTAACTTGAGTAACCGCTGATACCATTAACAGGGTGTAGAAGAGGAGGAATAGATTTTAGGAGGAGACAATACATTTGCTTTTTGTAGGTTTTATGACAATTGGAAATAATCTAGCTCTCAGGTAAGATTGGGGTTAGAGATAGAGATTTAGGAGTGCTGGATCAGTTCTCAGTTGTGCCTCTACATTAGAATTATTTGGGGGTCTTTTAAAACATTTCCAGGGCATAGCACCGCTCTAGACGGGTCAGTCAGAATCTCTGAAGAATGGGCCCTAGGCATCAGTACATTTTAAAAGCCATGTGTGGGGTGGTTCCATTGTGCATCATGGTTGAGGCTCACTGGTTGCGGGTAAGATCACGGATAATCAGAAACGACATGGTTTATAGTCAGAATCTGAAAGGGTGCCAATATTTAAGGGTAAATTGAGGAAGAAAGCCAGCAAAGGAGACCCGTTATCGGCCAAGATACTGAGTCTTTTGGTCTTTAGTGACTTCTCTATTGAAAGACCAGTGTTGGGCCCACATGACTTCTGGGCATGACAATGTTTCCATCAGAACCCAAATTATCTGCTTCTCCTTCTCCTGGGAGTTTCCTCCCAGCAATTCCCTAGACTGTCATCTCTCTGCCACTAAAACCTAGACAAACTGACTTTTACAAATATGATTCTCTAATAGCCTACAAACAATTCTTGATATTAAACAGCAAGAGTCTGGGAGAGGATCCCATTGGTACAGTGGTTCCCATGTCTATTCACATGTGTAATTTACCCAAAGTTCAAATCTTTTCAAGTCCACATTCAATCTGTTGTTATCTTGGGCTCTGTAATATAACATAGCAGCAGTAAATAGGGTTTCCTACTGGGCAGAAGTAGCTGCTGGTTTCTCTTAATAACTTCTTCCTGTGTCCGCCTTCTTCCAATTATAATAGCCACATCTCAACCTCCTTATATCCAATTGTGTTTATGCCTTTTTACTTGTAATGAAAGGGCGGGGAAAGCAGGAATGGGGCCACCTAAACAATGCCAGGAATGGAGGGCAGCAGTAGCAGGTGCCTGCGATCTCCTCAGGGTCAACTGATAATGAGAAAGAGAGACAAATTACATTGGAGCCAGAGCTCTCAGGAATCTAGGGATTAGATTATAGAATTAGCCCCCATGTCTTCTTGGCTTAGGAAAAACAAAGGTGAGCCCTGGATGGCATGGCTCAGTGGACTGAGAACCAGCCTACGAACTGAAAGGTCACTGGTTTGATTCCCAGTTAGGGCACATGCCTGGGATTGCAGGCCAGGTCCCCAGTAGGGGGCGTGCAAAAGAGGCAACCAATGTCTCTCTCACACATTGCTGTTTCTCTCCCTCTTTCTCCCTCCTTCTCCCTCTCTCTAAAAAATAAATAAAATCTTCAAAACAAAACAAAACAAAGAGGTGAGCTTGAGTTAGGTGCGTTATAAACCCAACAGGAGAAGCTGCATTGCACGGAACTGGCCAGGGGGGTAGGGGGTCAGAAAAAAAACAGAGCTCAGTTTTATGGACACTTAAAGATGAATAAAGTGTGGTTTCTGCCTTTGGGGATTTTCAGTCTAATGAGGGAAATGTTTATATAAGTAAATAATGGAAGACCAGAATGTAATAATTGCTAAATAGGTCTACAATAAAGTAAATGGTTTTATCTAATTAAAGAAGATGAGAAAGCTTTGTGGAGAGGTAACATCTGCATTTGGCATGAAAAAGATGAAAATTTCAGTCCAAAGTTTGGCAGCTGGGGGTCAAAGGTGGCATTCTAGGGCACAGGAAGCAGCGTGAGTAAAGACTTGGTATAAGAGTGTGTTCAGGGAGTAGTCAGCGAAGTGGTAGGTTGGAACATGTGGAACGTGGAAAACTGATAGGTGAGGCTGTTATTTTAATGTTCCCATTTGTATCACAGATGTGATGAGTCTCTTCTTTCCCTATATTAAGTAGACCCAGAGATTTCTCAGACCTACTGACTTCAGCTATGTCAATTTTTAAACACAATAATTGTGGAACTATATTCTCCACTAAACATCAAGTAGGAATACCCCCACTGATTTTCTTTTTTTTGCTACTACAATGACTCACCCCGTGCGAAGACTCTGAAATTACCCCTTGGTTGAGAATCACTGCCATATGGAGCCACCGTCCTTGCAGGACTGTCTTTTCCCTCTGGCGCGCTGTGGTAGAAAAAAGGTTGAGAACATGACCTCGACTATAAATTCCCCAACAGCAAGGACTGCATAATTTACTGCTTTTTATTCCCCCAGAATTCTTATTGGGGGCCTCTATAAGTAGGCAGTTAATGCTCTATTGCCACCACTTCACACCCTAATTTTTACAGACATCATTGTTTGGTCAGTTGACTTCTGGCCATCTATAACATAGGAAAGGAATAATAATGAGTCCAAACTTGTAACTTCATTACCTGCCTTAATACAGAATCCTCGCCATGGACGGGCTCATTGAGGACATCAAGCGACGCCGGTACTACGAGAAGCCCTGCCGCCGCCGACAGAGGGAGAGCTATGAAACCTGCCGGAGGATCTATAACATGGAAATGACACGCAAGATCAACTTCTTGATGCGAAAGAATCGGCCGGATCCTTGGCAGGGCTGCTGAGGCCTGTGGATAGTAGGCCCAGTAGGAAAACCTCTATCCAGTTGTGTCTCCAAGTTTTCTTTCTGCAACCCCATTTTCTCTTGCCATTTCTTGCAAATAAACTCAATCACATATATAAGAAGGCCTGCATATGTAGAAACGATCCCATTAGTCAGCAGTGGACCCTCTCTTTTATTAAGTGGCAGAGAAACGGAATCAAAAAGTAGTCTAGGAGTAGAGTGGTGGTTGCCAAGGGCTGGTTGGGAGGGAGGAATGGGGAATTACTGATGAATGGGTACAGAGTTTGAATTTGGGAAGATGAAGAAGTTCTGGAGATGGGTGGTAGTTGCATCGTTGCAAAACTGTGAATGTACTTAATGCCACTGAATTGTACACTCAGATGGTTAAAATGGTAGACCTTATGTATATTTTACTATAATAAACTTTTGAAAGTGGTCTAGGAGAGATGAGGAAATTTTCCAAAATGTGGTGGAATATATGTACCATTTCCTACCCAAGTTTTATGAAACACAAAGGATCTTATTGGAAAAGCATCTGTTAATGAACTTAATGAGTTCTAACGAACTGCCCACCAACTGTTGGGTAAAAGAAGGAAAGGAAGCGTGTATGTGTTTGGAATAAATTCTGCTTCTGAAACACCCATCAAGCAGACTGAAGTGCTGGAATCCTTGCCCAAAGGAACCCTTAAGACATCTCTCAACATTCACTCTTGCTTTCCCTCTTTTAGTTTTCCTAATGGAGGCTAATGGAGAGATGGTAGGAAAGGGAACAGGCTAGTGTTGAGGAATGGAAGGGGACAGAGCCAGAAATACCTACAGCAGCAGTTCTTCAAAGTGTGGTTTCCAGATCTGCAGCATCCACATAACCTGAGAAAATTTTTGGAAATGCAAATTCTGAAACTGTACTTTAGACTGTATGAATTAGAAAGTGGGGTTGGAGCCCAGTAATATATTTTTTAAAGCCCTGCAGGTGATTCAGATGCTCTATAGACACCCCAAAAGAGGTTCCAGGTGGAGACCCCACCACGACCCCTACTCCCCAACAGGCATTCCTGGGTCTGTGAGTAACCACTGGGGGCGTCTGACCACTGGGAAGACCAGGTGCTCTGCCTCCTCCCCTGTGGCATGTTTTCTCTGGTGCTGTTCCCCAGACAGCTACACTGCTGATGCAAGGAGAGTCGGTGCCATGCACTGTGGGAGAAGACAGAGGGTCAGCAGCAGCTGCTAGCTCACCTCATCTCAACCTGGCTGCGACCCTTCGGCCATGGTGTGTAAACAAGAAGTAAAAAAGAAGCAGAGGGCCAAGCCCCCTACCTCTCAAGATTGCTAGTGTTCAAACATTGCCCCCTTGTGGTGTAGTAGCATGGCTCCGGATTACTGGCCTTAATTTCTCCCTTTCACAAATACCACACTTAATGAGTAAGCAGGCCTGCCAGAAGATAGCCTGGAACCATTGTTCCTTGCCTCTCAGGGCTTGATCCTCTGTCTTCGACTTGCCAGCCATATGCTGAGGAAAGCATGTCATAGGGCGCTGCATAGAAAGAGCTGAGATCTGGTCCTGGCTCTCTGGAAACTTACATTGTAGTTGGAGAAATTCTGTATACAGATAGTCTTCAGCTTTGTCGCCTTTGTACAACCTTGTTTTAATAAGTTAACAAATTAGATGTTGATACTTATGAATCATCTTTCAATCTCTCAATCTGGTTTTTAATACGTCGTTTTTCTATGATTCTGAGCCACACCATGGTGTCCTGTGCCAATTGCTCCTGCAATTGAGGAATGAAAGCCTGACCCTTGCCAGAATGGTAGGGTATGTTTGTGGTGGCAGCACCAGGCCTGGTATTTGGCAGAATTCCTCTGGGGTTAGAGTTGCTTAGAAACCCCTTCCAAAATGCTAAGGTGTGGCTAAGACCTAGAATTTAATTTGTTCTGAAATTATCCCATGTTTGTCTTAATCTCCAGTCCTGACCATTGTCAATGTCCCACATATCAGGGGCCAGTGATGGGCTTTAGCAGCTAGTCCGAGAGGCCACCTGTGTAAAGAGGGTAACTGGCTGGCTGAAATTCTAGTCCGCTTGTCCTGTCGTGGCCGGAAGAAAGACCTTCCACTTCCTGGTCTGGGAAGTCAGAAGACGACTCTTGGTCATATGACAAGGGGATTGCCCTCATCCTTTTATCTCTGCCTTGGGTTCAGGAGAGGACAGTTTGTTAATCACCCACTTAATGGGTGAGAGATACAATACTTCCTACTCTGATCTTAGGCACCTGTGACATCTTTTAGCCATTCACTGGATTGCCTCTGGCAGGCCTGTTCCAATCCTGGTTTAAGGATCTTAAAACGTTTAGTGTTCTGGGAACAGGTATCCCTTAAAATTGGGACTGTTGAGTAACTTTGACATTGTACTTCAAAGTTTTCAGAAGTGAGCCCTGGCTGGTATGACTCAGGGGACTGGGTGCCGGCCTGCGAACTGAAAGGTCACCACATTGGTTCCCAGTCAAGAACACATGCCTGGGTTGTGGGCCAGGTTCCCAGTTGGGGGCGTGCAAGAGGCAACTGATTGATGTCTCTCTCACACATTGATGTTTCCCTCTCTTTTCTCCCTTGCTTCCCCTCTATCTAGAAATAAAAATCTTTAAAAAGTTAAAATAAAAAAATAAAGTTTTCCGAAGTACACTAAGTACAAAATGAGAGTTTGTCTATACGTTCACTGAAAATAGAAAAGAATAACTCACTGTATACTAGCAAGGTAAAGTAATAATGTTGTGATGTGGTAAATATAAGTAAGTAATTGAAGGGAAAGGAGAATATTGGAGCTTCCATTATATGTGCCAGCTACCTACATTTATAGTTTTTACTCAAGTCAGAAAGATCTGATTCAGTCATGTTCTTGGCAAATTATTTAACATAAACTTGTTTGTCCTGTAAAATGAGCATAACTGTATCTACAGGTTTGTAACTGAGTTAAAGCCTGTCAAGTAACTAGCATAGTGTCTGGCACATAGAACTCAGTAAATGTTAACAAAATAATCCCCCAGTTGTGTCAGCCAGAAACCTGATGATTGATTCCTTCTCACTCAATCATCACCAGCCTCCATTTAACCCCTTCTGGCTGTCTCAGTGATTGACTGCCACACCCCTGGTCCCAGCTAGAGTCGTAAGTCTTCGGGATTACTGCAACAGCCATGTAGCCATTTTGCACTAGAATTGCCTGCCTCCAGCCCTTCTACATTTTGGCCAGAACGATTGTTCTAAAGTGCAATCTTGATCTTCTTTCCTGCTTATGTTGGTAATTGGTTCCTATTGCTTTCAGGATGAAGTCCAAACCACTTAGCATGGCATTTTAAGGCCCTTCAAGATTGAGACATGCTTTTCTCTCTAGCCATTTGTCCCCTAAATGCATTTCTGGATGATAGAACATGTTTTCTCTCCTTGCCTTTACACCAGCTCTCAGTTTGGATATTCCCTGAGCTGCCTTCCCTGATCCCTTTACCAGCCATCCTTCCTGTATTATCTTTATTGTGTCTTTTTTAAAAAAAAATTGCAGTAACATTTGTTTAAACGTGAGTTTCAGGAGTGCAGCATTATAATTCAACATCTGTATATACTGCATCATGCTCACTGCCAAAAGTCTAGTTTCCATCCATCACCACACAGTTGACCCCCTTTGCCTGTCTCGCCCTCCCCAACCTACTTCCCTCCTGGTAGCCACCAAACTGTTTGCCTCTGTGAGTGTTTGGGGGTTTTGTTTGTGTACTTGTTTTGTTTACTCTTTTTGTGTCTTGAGTTTACCTTTGTATGTTTACTTCTGTAATAATAGTTTATTTCTATAATCTGTTGTGATTTATTTCTTCTTCGTCTTTCTTCCCCCATTACATTTGCAGTTGTCTGGAGGCTTGAGTCTTTGTCTTTTTTACCACTATATTCCTAGTGCTTAGGATAATGTCCAGCATTTCTGTGCTCAATAGATAGGGATTTCTTCAAGGAATATATGACAATAGCAGTGACCTATTGAGCCTTACTATGCACCAGGCACTAAATTTTTTTTAATTAAAAAAAAATATAAAAAACATGAAGTTTACCATTTTAACTTTTTTTTTTTTTTAAAGAGAGGAAAGACAAGACAGAAACATTGATATGTTGTTCCATTTATGCATTCACTAGTTGATTCTTGTGTGTGCCCTGACTGGGGATTGAACCTACACCCTTGGTGGATTGCGACAATGCTCTAACCAACTGAGATACCCAGCCAGGGCATACCATTTTTAAGTGTAAAATTCAGTGGCATTAAGTGTATGCGCAATACTGCATGCTTATCACAACTATATTTCCAAAATTTTTCTATCACCTGACACAAACTCTAATCATTGAGCAATAATTCTCTACCCCTTCTCTCTGCAGCCCCTGGTAGCCTCTACTCTTTCTGTCTCTATTTGTCAATTCTAGATTCCTCACATATGTGGAATCATACAATATTTGCCCTTTTGTGTCTGGCTTATTTCACTTAGCATATTTTCAAGGCTTATCCATGTCGTAGCATGTATCAGAAATTCATTCCTTTGAATGAATACTATTCTATTGTGTACATACACTACATTTTGTTTACTTATTCATCTGTCAGTGGACACTTGGGTTGCTTCCACCTTTTATGTATTGTGAATAATGCTGCTCTGAACATGGATCATATCTCTTTGAGACTCCTCTACTTTCAATTCTCCCAGGTTTATACCCAGAAGGAGAATTGCTGGATCATATGGTAATTGTATTTTTTTTTTTTAGAAACTACCATACTGACTCCCATAGCACCTGCACTATTTTACATTCTAACAGTGCACAGCGTTCCAATTTTTCCATATCCTCACTAGCTCTTTTATATTCTGTTGTTTTTTTAAAAATAGTAGTAATCCTAATGTGATGTAATATCTTCTTATGGTCTTGATTTGCACTTCCCTGAGGACTGACAGTGTTAAGCATCTTTTAAAATATTTATTGGCCATATTGGAGAAGTGTGCATTCAAGTACTTGGCCTATTATTCCTTTGAATTGGGTTGTTTTTGCTGCTGAGTTGTAAGAGTTTTTTTAAAAATATATTCTGGACAGTAATCCTTTATCAGATACATGACT